CCACAGAACACTGCCTCTCAAGCAAATGCAGTTTTCGACCAGTGGCGAGCTAGTAGCTTTGGTGCCACAACTGCTGACAAAAAAGATCAAACGCCTAATGCACCTGCCGTGCCCGCTAATGATCCATTTGCTGAATTTATGAAGATGCAGTCTACCACCAGCAATAGCCTTGAAGCACTGCCTGCACGCCAGCAAGCAGCTATGACAGCGGCAGTAGAGCAAAGGAGCAACATTCCACAACAACCTGCAAGTATGTCAGTTCCTATGCAGCCCCAAATCACCAACACGGTCCCAAGTCAAAGCCAGGCCTTTTACGTACAACCACAAGAAAATGAAGACTTCCCTAAAAATCCTTGAGAATTTGAGAGTAAAGTGTTTCAGTGACGTGTTTTCGGAAACACTTTTTTGGGTATTATAGCATCTTACTATGTGGAGTGCGCTATGTATGATATCAGGATTTTCTCATTGGAGAGAAGCTTAAACATCATTCAGCTTTCTTTTAGCTTAACCTAACAGGGCCTCTACTTGGAATCAGTTTCCCGCTCTGTCGTATGACAGTTTGATCAGTAAGACTAATGTCTTTTAACTTCTGCTGTCAAATAAAGGTGTTGTATTTCTAATACAGCGTCCTGGAGTCATGTAACTTAAGTTTCGTAGGACATTAGAAAAATTGAACATCCGAATTTTGTTACAAATTTAAATCATTCTCAGGACTAAACCAAAAATTGTGCCCGTGCTTTAACGCCCCCCAACTTCGTTCCCAGGACTTTTCGGTAACGGGGTTGACATCCCGCCTAAGCTACCCCCGCATTTGACTCCTTTACCGTCCCGGGGGGTGGGATTTTATAATCAAATTCTTTAGAGGGAGAGGAATTTGAGACCAATGCATAGTAAGGGGTTGGGATTTTGAGCCGTTGCCACTATTTCTTGTGACACGCGCTGTTGAACATATAAGCTATACTGGACAGTTAACAATGTTTGCGGTATACTTGAACGTACCTTTAAAATGTCTTTTTAGGATTCTTGCTTTGAACATTGAAAATTAAAAGTTGTGTCTACAATAGATACAATAAAGTCCATTTGCTTTCAAAATTATTAGAGGTCAAATGATGTCTGATCGCGAAAATTGTCCACGAAAATTCTAAAATGCCCGCGGTGTATCATGCGAACTGATACTGAGGGTCTCATAATCTATTTTAAAATTCAGCCCCTTTGTACAATAGTTTTGTTTATATTATACATCGCCACAGTGCTTTCTCAGTAAGGTTTGATTGTATTTGATGCCATTAATTTGCCGTATTTATGAAGTTTTTCTTCAACAACCTTCAGCGCTGAACCTTGTGAAATGGCGCTCTCTCGTTGTTCTTTGAAACCTGTCTGACAGACTTGCTTCAAGAGTATAGTACTGGAAGAAGAGTAATATGGACACTTTTTAATTTCCTCGGGGTGGAGACATATGACCAGCTACCGTAAAATAGACAAATTCAAATGCCCGGGGGGTTGCTCGGAGGGATATTTCAATCGATGACCGCTGATACATCAGTGGGAGTTTGTTTTTTGTTTTTTGTCTTTGACTTTGAAGGCTTTTCTGTCGAATATGGGGTAGAACTCCCACGGCAATTTTGGTCCCCATTAGTAAAGTTCTTGCCGAAAAAATAAGAAACAACAAAATCAACCCGCTTATGGCTATTGAACTCACTTTTTCGTATGGACTCCTGTTTTATCTTAGTCTCCGTAGCTGGCGGGATTAGCCGGCGATCAGTGCTGTGAAGCATCAGGCGAACATGACGAAAATCTCAAGGGAAGTTTGGGTGGAGGTTCTCATTTCGCTACCCTGTTTAAGACAGGAGCACTACTTTCCGACCCTGATTTGCATTGATTTGCATACAGAATTTAGTAATTTTTTACGCTAAAATCGTGGAAATAGATATTTAGGAAAAAAATTATCGGTATTGCAAATGTAGACCGCTCATCGCAAGTCTTCACACTCATTGATAGGCTTCCAGTCCAAAAAGAAACCCTGTTCAAGACGCTTAGAGGTGAAATTGTATACCCTGTTTTTAAACGACTCAACGCGCCCTGAAAACCATAGCCTGTTCAGCGGCACATACCCGCATACATAGGCCAAATAAGGGAGTACCCCCCGCTCCCCACCCCCCGGGCCGTAAAGATCAATTTGCCGTTTCATATTTTTCTACAAGTTTAATTGTACTGATCTTGGTCTACAACTGGGAGATCCGGCACCACTCATTGGTTTGTTCAGCTGTGGACTTGCTGATATTTTATATACAGTCGACTCCCGATAACTCGAACCCTCGCTAACTCGAACCTCGCGCTAACTCGAACCAAAATCGATTTCCCCTGGATTTCCGTCATACATTTACTGTAATTTTACCTTCGGTAACTCGAACCCTCGATAACTCGAACTCCCGCTAACTCAAACCAATTTTCGTTTCCCCTCAGGTCATTTTCTATATAATTTTACCCTCGATAACTCGAACCATGTTTTGAGCCCTTAAAAAGCCCGGAAAAAAGCCGTCTACTGGGGTCCGAAACATTGAATTTTGGATTTCCTGTTAACGTGTTGTAGGAGTATAGTTTACTAATGGAGGCTGATGTTGATTGTCACAGGCTAACGTGAAGCAGCTTTACTTCTCAAAGCAGTAAAACGCATGCTCTATTTAGGCTATGTTTTGTTACGTTACGTTCTGGCCCGAGTTGGTCGAAGCATGGGGCGCGATCCATTCAACCAAAATTTCAACCGATCCGACCGGGAAAAGTGGTCCACCTCAAAAGGTGGACCCGTTTTTTCGAAACTTTTCCGGTTGGACCGAACCGATCCATTAAGTTTCGGACCGAAATTTCCGGAAATTTTGGTTGAATGGATCGCGCCCATGGTTAGTGCTAACCAGCGTTAAATACCATGGAAACCTATACATTTTGATACCTCTTAACCAACGGTTAGCGCTAACCAGGCTTCGAGCAACCGGCCCCTGAGATTTATAATCTAGAAGTATCTTCAGTTTAATTTTGACTTGACATTTCTACTATTAAATGTGATTAAAATGTTCACTGTGCAGTAAAAACTGTTTTTTACCTTACCCTCGACTATTTTCTTCGAGCTCCCGATAACTCGAACTCCCGTTAACTCGAACTTTGTTTGATTTCCCTTGAAGGTTCGAGTTAGGGACCGGTCATTATTTATCGCCTGGGGGGGGGTCGGAGGATTTTGGGCTAAACACGATGAAATTTAGCCGATCCCCCCTTTAAATGTTATTTTATTGAAGTGATCCCCCCTCATAATTATATATAACTTTCGTGATCCCCCCCCCCCATGTCTTTGTACCCATATTCACCTTTCGACGTGTATATTTAGTGTTTTAAACGTTCATATACAGGTAGTATTTCTAACTATGATGTACTTACAGCATAATAAAGCCGTTATCGCGCAGTCTTTTATTAAAAGTGTCTCTTGATCCGTGTCTTTTTCTAGTCTGGATCCAGACATCTGAATTCAGCTGACATACAAGCAATCTTGCTTAAAACTGCAAAGTGCTTGAAACTGCAATCAGTGCTTGAAACTGCAAAGTTACTTTTTTTAGAGTGCCAAATAGCAGTCCGCCAAGTCCCTATCAGCAGGTCATATTTAGCGACAATTTTCAGAGGACCACACTCTAAAGTCATTTGCAGGCGATGAGTTGGCCTATTTAGAAGAAGCACATAGGCGAATCACTACACTGCACGAGGAACTTCAGTCCGCATCCAACAAGTTGACAACAGCGCATATTAACCTGTCAAAGAAGTTTCCTTTGTGCGCGAGAAAATCAACAATGTCAAGAAGAAAGAAGGAAAATAAGAGGAAGGTCCGAAAAACCAAGGACAAGCGACTCAAGCAGAGGGCACGTCATCTCTTAGGAAACTTGACCTCAATCGAGGTCGCGGGGCAAATTTTCGGTTCAATCGAAGAGAATGATAGAGTTACTCCTGTAGATAGCATCAATGCTGACTTTGCTAAGAAACTAACAAGGCGTTTGCATCTAGACCCTTTGCTATGGCTACTAGAAAAGGGTATTTTTAGCACGACCCTAGCAAAAAATCTAGAGCAAGTAGCGGCCATTTTAAGGGCACAAAGTCCAGGGTCAACCTGCCGAAGGGGACTAAATGTTGCTGTTGAATCGGATGACGAGGCTCAAGAGGCAAATGAAGTTGTTGAATGGGATGATGAGGCTCAAGATGAGGCAGATGAAGCAGTTGAATCGAATTTAGTATAGAGCTGACACAGGACGCCCATTCCTGGAGAGGCGATAAATGGTTTATGTTTAAACAAACACGCTTTTTACAATGTTTCAGTTATCAGAAGTTTATATAGTTCACAATTTAGAATTCACCTGTCATGTTTAAAGATGAATATTAGCTAAGTCATGAGCACGTTATAAAAGGAAAAATATAAAAGCGTTAAAACAAAGCTTTCTCGATATAAATTGAAATGCACACATTCGCCAGTGTGACAGACTTCCGTTTTTTAAATAAAGTTGTGTTAGAACAAATTGAGATTGCAAATGCTATCATCTCCCAGCAGAATGGGCACATTTATGTTGTATGCTTTCAAACTGGCATTGTTCAAGCAGATTTGAGTGGTGCCCCCCTCTGAATCCTTCCAAAATTTTCAATGATCCCCCCCTTTGGGGCTCTCAGTTACGACTGATCCCCCCCTCTGTTCTCCTAAAAATCAAGTGATCCCCCCCAAAATCCTCCGACCCCGCTCAGGTGATAAATAATGACCGGTCCCTTAGTCTATCGGGAGTCGACTGTATTTCGTATTGCATCACGGGATAGCGTCTAATGCCTGAACCAGTTTGACTAGAATTGTATTGACCAATCAGAAAGCTTCTTACCGCAAGTGTTCCGCACATGCTCGATTATCTGCGTCTGGCGAAGAAGGAAGACATTTTGGAAGGGACAGCTGTTTGATCTGTTACATCGCCGTTTTCGAATTCGGTATGACTGGAGGTTATAGTGGGAGAAAACTGTTTGTCGGTGGGCTCCCTCCAAAGGTCGACGACAAGGCTCTGCATGATGTATTTTCTCGTTTCTGGCACATTGAGGAAGGTTTGTATTCAATAGTTTAGATTAGCACTTCGATCAATAATTACATGTAATAGCCTGGAAACTTTTTATTTCCCTATTGCGTAAAACAGCAAGCTTATAGAAAATACAGTCGCCGTTTTCTCTGATGGTACATATTGGTCTGGGCTATCTAGGTACACTTGCAAAAGATATAATTTCGACGTGTCGCCCGAATGAATTAGGCTTCCTTGGCATGATCACGTGGGCGCTTGCATTTTTTAGTACACTAGACTTTATTGCTTTTTCCTTTAACTATATACCTGTATTGCAGACTTAATATGTATATCAGAGACTTGAATTTCTAGTTTAATTTGCATGAAATGACATAAGATAACTGAGTGTGAGCTTATATGTCAGTTGTTACAAGCTACAGTACCGTTCAAAAGTAAGTTGGCAGTTTGTTGCGAGTCTCGATTCTCGACTCGATTTGCGCTTCTCGATTCCCGCCTGAATCGAGAATCGAGAACAAGCTACCGAGAAGCGAGTCGAGGATTGAGTCTCGAGGTACAGAAAACAAGAGATTCATCCATCACTGAGTTCTCAATAATTTTACAAAGACCTAACGCTGTAACACAACACGGCATGGTTATATTTGGACAAACGACGGTGCATGTATGGTTGAAACAAGACCAATTCGAGTCATAAAGGGAATGTTTCTTCAAGGACATCTGTATCAAGCTTCATTTCCTCAGGTAAAGTTTCAAATGCCTGCTCCAAATGCAAACAAACAGAACTTCTGAGAAACAATGATTCTTATTGTATTAGGAAATTTGCACGTTCTTTAAAAATTTGAGGTCTTTGAGATAATTTCTGTTAAAATTGGGCCTGTTTCTTCCGCAATGGAACATGATACTCATGAACTTTTTTGTTGCCTAGCACGTGACTGCAACTACTGTGATGAAAAATTGTGCAATGTTAATTTCAATAGCGGACTGTATTGCACGAGACAAAATATTGTTTTCAAAGCTCTTGGATGTTTCCGAAGTTTTCTGAAACTTAACCAATAGCAATAATAACTTTATTAATCTCCTCAAAAAGGCTTTTCAGCTTAATTTACGATGTCAAATATCTAAATTTTAGTTTTCCAAAAATACCATTAAAAAATGCTGTTTTATTTTAACTTTAAATACATCTAAATTAGTGATAGACTGAAACTCGTCTGGGAGACTATTCCACAGCCTTTGGCCTCTGAAGGTAAACGCGCGTTGACCTGCAGCCGTCCTACAGAGTGGTATATGTAGGCGGTCCCTATTCCTAGTGTTGCAGTTGTGCGCTTCCGATCTGGTTTTAAACTTCTGACAAAGATATGGAGGAGCAAGTTCATTTAAGCATTTAAATACCTAGTAGCATCCCTAACCTCAAGTTGTTTGACAATTGGCAGCCACTGTAACTGCTTAAGAATAGTTGTGACATGATCAAATTTCCTTTTTCCAGAAACTATCCGGGCTGCAAAATTTTGCACTGTCTGTAATAGCTCGATGTTTTTCTTGGTGGTATTAGCCCATACTGATGAACAATACAATAATTTACTGAATACAAGAGAATTAATTATAGTGATCAATGTACGCCAATCAAACAGGTATTTTACGCGATTTATTTGACAAAGGCTACCTATACATTTCGAAGTTAATTGAGTTATATGTTCGTTGTACGTTAAATTACAGTCCATTGTAACCCCCAGGTTTTTCGCAGACTTAGATGGTGTAATCTCCTTGCTGAGTAGTGTAATGCTTAGATCATCTGGTATCTTCATCAGCAACTGCAGAGTCCACAGAACCAGAAGTTTTGTTTTTTCCGGGTTAATGAGTAGACTGTTTTTACAACACCATGTGGCTATGTATATTCAAATTGAAACTTTTATGTGCACAATCACTTCTCATAAAAAGCAAAGGGCGAAATATCAAATGGAAATGCTATCGCATATCACAAAAACAGCAATTCTAGTCAAGAGGTCAAACTACAGGTAAAGTTTCCAGCGAAAAAAAACCCTCCAACTGTAGACACCGACAATCAGACATTCAACTGCAATAATGCCGATGGACATTCACAAACAGGCAATCCAAAAAATATCAGCAAGTAAAATTTGAAAGCAATTGGAAGCCCTTTGAGACTTTGTTTACACACTGTCGTGTATTTTTCATTTGTTTACACAAGCTACCTTTTATGTGTATTTGGATTTTACAGGTAAAAAGTCATAAATGGCTCTTCAAGTTCAACTGTTACTGACAATTTCTGCTATTTAAATGATGCAAAATGCTGTTCGAACATGTTTTAAGATTTCAACGCTAAGTGTCGCCCCATCCGTGCGAACGAATGTGAATGTCAACTGCTACTGTATAATTTGCATACATTTGGTTCAGGAGTTTCTCACAAGAATAGAGTTAGTTATTCTTTGGAGTAGAAAGCTTTTTTTGACGTGAGAGAAGTTAGAAGATGCTCAAAACTTGTACATTTGGTCGTAGATTCTTGCAGCAATCGAATATCGAGAGTAGAGAGCAAATTACCGTATTTATTCGATTAACCGCCCTGGGCGCTTATTAAATTTTTGGACCTTGAGGGTGGGCGCTTATTCGAGGTGGGCGCTTATTCCAGGCTGGGCGCTTATTAAATTTTCACCATTTTCAGCAAGTGAAGTATGTTTATTTTGCAACAAAACAAGAAATGCTAATAACAAAACGCGAGGAAGTAACAAAGCAAGATTTCTGTAAAATCCTTTGAAGAAAACTTCGTCCTCGGGGAAGTATCTTATTAGAATTTATTCACTCAAGTGGGTGGAGTGGGGGTGAGCGCTTATTTGAGTTTGATTGGGAGGAGGAGGGGGTGGGCGCTTATTCGAGGCTGGCCGCTTATTAGCTTTTTTTGCCTTTAGTATGGGCACTTATTCGAGGTGGGCGCTAATTCGAGGTTGGGCGCTTATTCGAATAAATACGGTACTTGAAACAAAATCCTTTTAATCAATTATAAACAATCAATTCCGAACAACTTACTTTTGAATGGTACTGTATTAACATTTACTGGCACTAAGGTGTCAAAAATGTTTGAATAAAAAATAGAATGGGCCATTTGCACAATGCCGTCAATTTACTAGTATGACCAGAATCCTTTTCGTTTTGCCTTTTATATTTAAATTTGGTAATCCCAGTGAACTTTGAATAACAAAAGCCCTACTTTTCGCTCAAGAAAGCAAAACCCTGAAGGATTCTTGTCTTTGTAGTAAAATAATGTCATCATGCAAATGGCCTATTGAAGCTGGTCTTGCTCTTGCTAGAATTGGTCACCCCCTGCTAAGTTAAATGCAGACCAAGACTAAGCAAACAATGGAGGTGCGAAACTGATGAAATGGATGCATCAGCTCGGACAAAAGTACATGTCAGCGCTGATGAGTATCTGCGTTAGCTCAGGCGCACCAGGAAGGAAAAGATTTTTCTTCTGTTATCCCCTGTGACAGCTTTGCTCTTTTAGGCATTGTTGTTAAAAACAAGGTAAATTCTCGGGTGTTAAGAAGCTCGATAGTTGTTCATTCTAAGGAACTTTTCATGCGGTATTTTGACCGTGATTGATCAAATTGAATTGGGCAACTTGCAAGGTTGCGTTTGCAAAATTGCTCAGCATCCTACTTTTATATGTAACTGTAATTCTAGGTTCGTACTCTGGAAGAAATACCAGCTGTTTTTTGATGAACTGAAAGCCTGTGCCTGCATTTTAACGAGGACAAAATCGGCACAAAATGAAATAAATTTGCATGAGAGAATCAAAAGTTCACACACTTGGCTTGGTCATCGATGTTCATCCAATGTTCATCTGAAACTGGCAACTCAAACTGATGATCACGCAAAGAACTGATGCAATGAAACAGAAAATATTCCACTTTTGTCTCCTTAACAAACAAAATCAATTTTCAGGTTTAGACTGTTGAAATTCATTTCTGAAGTAACTGAATATTGAATGTCTCTGAGACTGTATGAGCAGTTAAATTCAAATGCAAATCTTATTTCCATTGTAATCAAAATTTATGTACATCAGGTTTTTACACTTTTAAGTGTATTTTGTTAGGATACTGCAGGGAAGTGTCTGGATGCCAAGTGACAGTTTTACAGTTCATTTGCGCGGTGTGTTATGACAAAAATTTTAGCCTGTGCCAATCTGTCAGTTTGATTCTTGTAGGCTTTTTAACAACTGTACACATTACACGTCTATTAACAAGGAGATAGCTCATACATACTAATGAGTCTTGATGTGCACTGACCTATTTCAGAGAAGAAAGACACGCATGCTTGTCAGCTCAGCTGATGCATGGACACATCTGGCCTGATGCAATTGACTTGTATTTCCTGATGCTTATTATGCGTATTTCAATAATTTACATGAAAAATTGAATATTCACTTGAATAATTTGAACCCCAGCTAACCCAAACTGTTTTTCACCTCCCTTTCAACTTTGAGTTGCCAAGGTTCAATGTTCAGAGATGGCATGGGGGCTAACCTTGTACAAAATGTGTCCTGACTGTGATTGTTATAGCAAGGAGCCCAAAAGTGTTACATCCTTTAATTAACTGACATTCTTCCGTGCAGACATTAACCAATCAGAAGTCGAGGACAGTTTCCAGTTGGCTTCTGATTGGATTAAATCTACACAAAAGAATGTGAATAAATCAAAAGCAGTCGCACTTTTGTCCTCCTTGCTGTGAGTGGTTGTGGTGACTGGACTATTGGATGGGAAATCTAGCAGTTTGTAAGAAGTCATTTGGGATTGTTTCACAATCATTCACCCATTCTGTTTTTAGTGAAATTGAGTTTGAATGTTTTTGTTGACTTGGGAAAATTTTCATTAATTTTTTTAGCAATAATTGTTACTGACCGTGAGACTCGAAAAAGTCGCGGCTTTGGCTATGTGACCTTTACAAATGAAGTTGATGCTAAAGAGGCAATGTCGTCAATGGCGGGAGAGCGCGGCAAGGTACCTGTAATTGACCATGTACAATTACAATAGTAAATTATTAGCGAAATGGTGATAGGGTTGTCACTTGTTGTTATACTTTTGCTGCATGGTAGGAATACATTGTAGTCAAGGCATGTACATGTAGCAGTACAATAATTATTTACATGTTCATGTAACTTGGAATTCCGGTTTGTGCTTTAGTAGAGCTTGGTGGTCCCTGGTGAATACTTTTGCCTTTGGGTGAGCAAATAATAATGTTAACACGAAACGTTTGTGCTGGGCACCCCTTGTAGATGAAGTGAATTCTCCTTTGAGAGCACAACCTTAGAATTAAAATGATAACAATTTGAAATCTTCTAAAAAATGTTGTTGATGGCAGCAGAAAAGACAGCATTCCTTGGAAATTTGAATAAGAGCAAACAAACAAAGCAAAGAAGTTGACTCTCTTCAAAAGATTTATTACCAGGAGCCATTTTGAAGAAAATCTGAAAGTTTGAATGACTGGTTTAACTGACACAAAAAAATGGAAATTGTTCAAGCGGTATTGACAAAAATGATTTTGTCAATCATGTTGCAATGATTTTGCCAAGATTATACTTTGTTTTACACGGCAGTACATTTTAGAGGTGACCTGAGAGAATGTTTTGCAGTGTAATCAAGAAACTGTAGATAAAAATCCTGTAAGCTGAAGCTTAGCCAAAAAATATCATTGTCTGCATGAGAACCACCCTCTTTTACACTAAAGTACCCCTTGGCCTGTTGCTGAAAATCAAGGGTTTATAATACATGTACGGTGTATGCAGGTTACAACTGTAGTTGTAACAGAACGATTGTTAGTTGGTTGATAATTGTGTTTTTGGGTAACAATGATAAGGTTTTACCTATGGTTTTTCCTTTGTCTCAAACTGTGTTGTGTCTCATTCTCAAGAAATTCTTTGATCATGAAATGACCCTGGAGTATGCAAAGGACAAGCCATCCGGTTCAGTAAGAGGTGGAGGGAGAGGAGGAAGAGGTGGTTTCAGAGGAGGCTTTTCAGACCGAGGGCGTGGTCCTCCCCGTGGCCCACCCTTCCGAGGACCTCCTCCTGGGCGTGGTCCTCCAAGCAGGTCTGGATACTATTGATTCACCTGTTTGTTTAATCAGGCAAATAAACTGCCACTTGTATCATAATACTGTATACAGTACAAGGGTACTGCTTTTGTGTGTTACACCACCATCTGAGAAAACTGACATGAAAATAGTCTAAGTGAGAAAATATCTTAAATTGAGTTGGCTTCACGAATACATCCCTCTTTAATTAAGAGTCTTTCAAAGGTCATACACCGTACCTAGTTGGCTGCTCAATAGAGGCTGACTGCTTAGCAAAACCGTTCCAAAATTAGCATGTACAGCTGTAGTACAGCAAAAATCCTCTAAATAGAGGTGTGACATTGTTTTCCCAGATTGTGTGTGATTGTATTCTGGCTTCATGAACAACCTAGTACGGTGCACTGTGCATGTAGTTTGCTTCCTTCTGATATACAGTTCTTCGCCACGAAAACGCACAATTGCAGTTTTAACCATACTGCAATTTGTCTCTGCTTGAAGGGCTTGTGACTCCATTGACTTGTTGTATTATGTATCATTATTGTTACTTTTCAGGCCAAGAGATGGTCCCCCACCTCCTCGTGGCAGGGACATGCCTCCTCCAAGGGACATGCCACCTCCCAGGGATATGCCACCTCCCAGTCGAGGTCCACCTAGGGGACCCCCTGTAGAGCCACGAAGAGGACCCCCACCCCCTGACAGGTGATCTGAAATTTTTTTACAGTAATATCTGTGTGAGAAATTAAAAACAAATTACCTACAACAATGCAAAAAGGGTCATTCTTGCATTTTGGGATGTTTATATGTACATAAATGCAGGTCATGATTGATGATGACATTTCATGTCTTATTATAGCGTACAGTACCTATCAGTGATACAAAACAAACAAGTACAGTATACATGTACATGAGTATTAATGTTTTTTTGTTGATGTTATTGACCTTTTAAAAATTTTGACAGTAATTTTATTTGTCAGTTACAGTGTACAGTATTGTTTGCATTATCATACATGTTCAAAAAGGTTCACAACTGACAATTTACGTCATTACTGAATCAAATCTTAATGTTACATGTATTCAAGTCTCTTTGAACTTGTGCATGTAGTCTGCAAAACTGCAGTGTACGTGTTTAGTGAGCAGATGTNTGTTTGCATTATCATACATGTTCAAAAAGGTTCACAACTGACAATTTACGTCATTACTGAATCAAATCTTAATGTTACATGTATTCAAGTCTCTTTGAACTTGTGCATGTAGTCTGCAAAACTGCAGTGTACGTGTTTAGTGAGCAGATGTTATTTCATTATTTACATGTGTGCAAAACAATGTTTGCTGTAAAGGATTGTTAAAACACATTGTAGAACTTAACAATATTGTTAACTACTGACCTTCTTTTCTTAGATATGATGATTATGGCCCTCCCCCTGAACGTGGCTACCCATCACGAGATTATGATCGTGCAAGCTACAGCGATCGTGAAAGGGAACGACCACCAAGTTATGGAAATGATTATTATGGCAGCAGGTATACGCACACTCTTGTTGTTTTCTGAAGTGTTTTACATGTACAGTTTGTAAGGATGTTTGCCTACAAAAAGGTGATAGTTTTTTAAATCAAGCTTCCTTAGAGAGTTCTTTATTAATTTTTAATCCTGTCCTAAAGTTCTACTGGAGTGTCTATAGCTTTTGTGTGTGTGTGGTGTTGTTTTTCCAGGTATCCTCCCCCAGAGCGTGGTAGTGGTGGCAGTGCAGGAGGTAGTAGCTACTCCAGTAGTGACAGAGGGTATGGACCACCCATGGACAGATATGGAGGTTCAGATCGCTACAGCAGTTCTGATAGGGGATATTCTAGTGATCGAGGCTACGGTGACAGGTAACCAAACTTGCTAATTTTGTCACCAAGCAGGACTATCAATTCATAATTATAACCCGTTTCTTATATGCAAATGAGGCGCACAATATTGTTATGACCAGCTTTTGTACTCTCTGGCAATAGACCTTGTCACGGTTTTCGAGGCCATCTTGACGAGTAGGCAAACACGTGAGAAATTAGAGTGTTTGTACGTATGAGAATCGAATGTCGAATAATTTCCGTAGAACAGTTGTTCTGTAAAAAATATCAATTGTAAACTAAAGCTTTATTCTTAAGGATTCTGCTGAAAAAAATTGAGGGCGTTACATGTGCTAGAAGACCTAGAACCACTTTTTAAAATGTTCTATACATTTGTCAGTAAGAAAGTCTCGGGAAAAATTACAGACAAATATATGGAAAATCTAAAGCAAGCCTCTGGAGACATTTACGCACATGAACGCCCCAATAATTGTTTAGTACAGTCCTTTGCTTTTTAGTTTTAGTTTACAACTGATATTTTTTCCAGAACAGCCGTTTTACGGAAATTATTCGACATTAGATTCTCATACAAACACTGTAATTTCTCACGCGTTTGCCTACTCGTCACGATGGCGCCGTGTCGCGCAGGAAGCGAGACGCGACTGGTAACTTGCTTTTGAGCGGTACTGTAGCTCTTCTGGGAATTTATTTCTTTGAAACCTTCTCTGTTTTTTTTATGTAAGATTAAAAATGTGTTCCAGATCAAATTCAAATTTGTTATTATAATTCTTGGTTTTTGAGGGGAAGAGAAAATCATAATACCCAGAGAAAAACCTCTTGTTTGTTTGTAAGCAGATATGGTGGAGCCTCGGGAGGTGCATCTGATGATCGTTACGCTCCAGATCGAGGTAGCTATGGTAGTGACCGCCAGGAGAGAGGTGGATATGATTCAGGCAGCAGTGGTTATAGCAGCAGTGACCGGAGCTACGGGGGACCAGACCGTGGGTATGGTCCACCCCCTGATAGGTATGGCCCTCCACCGGACCGTGCTCGTCCTGCAGGATATGGAGCCCCTGCTGACAGGCCCTATTCATCTGGATCTTACTCAGGAGGTAGGAACTTATTTCGAGTGTAAAGGCTGGTAGAGAGAAGTTTCATACATGTACCTTGCATGTGTACGAGTCGCCACTGAAGCATTCGTACAGTTTCATATGGCATTGTTTAGTGCTCGTCCGAAAATTGGTGCGTTGAAGATCAAATTTTTGGTGGTTTCATACCAATTTTATCTCCGCTCTATCAACTCGATCGTCTTGAAACAATATCTTTCGTTTCGGAAGCTTGCTCAATAAATTGACTTTGAAATAGGGTTCCTGTTCACCTGGTTAATAACTGATTGTTTGGAGGACAGTTATAGCAACTAACGACTTAGATACAGGTATACAAGTCTAGAAATGGTATCAAATCAGTCTTCCGAAAATTAGGCAGGACTCCTGCTTTGTCATGGTGCAAAAGCGAAATTTATAATAAACCGATAATTTCGGCTAGCAAGTTTGATCCAACACGAAAAAAAGAACGGTGACAATTACATCTACGTTAAAACACTCCAGCAGCTAAATATTTCGATGTCGTTGTGGCATTACGACACATCGCCCTCGAGAAAAACTCATGTAAACGTTCTAGCAACACCTCATTTTGTCACAGTGATATGCTTACACTTGCATTCAAACTCAACGAGCGTATGTTGAAGAAAAAATGTTGAAGTAAACGGTTCACTATAACTGGCTGCTGATGTCATAAGTTGGAGGAAATTGATAGCAAGAGTGTTGCTGGATTCCTTTTGGGGTCAGGGATGGGTGTTGTTATATTATTACATGTATTTTAGTATTCTTTTCTTTCAGCAAAAAGGAATTCCGTTTCGACTTTGCCACCGTCATCTTAACTTCGATTTGAGTTCTTGTTGTTTTCCAGTTTTCTAATTGTTCCTGCATTTCGTTTCAAGGCCGTGACTGGTGATCCGACGCAGAAATGTTCCGTACTTCGCCAAGGATTATTGCAGTTTTAACAAGTTCCTTTATTGCCGGAGTCATTATTTTTACCAGTAATTACTGTAACGTATATTTTCCAGAGCATGCCATAAGTCTGTCATCGCCCGATTCTTCCATGAACTGAGTCTGAGTTGTCTTAAAGCTGAATCGAAGCGATAATCGATGCCCCTTCCACGAACATTGTCAATGGATTGTATTCGATCTGTTTGTTCGGCGCCAGTACAGCCTGTACATGTAGATTATCGAGTTCTAAGTATGTGTTGTACATCCAAAGACAATTTCTGCAAGTTTGAAAGGCGACATTTTTAGAACTTTTTATTTGTTTTCGTAGTCACTTGCATGGCTCATTTATTTTTAGTAACTGCTAATAAAGCGTTGTATATGTGCAAGAATGAACTTCAATTTTCGGTTATTCCAATAACTATCGTAAACCTCGAACTTCGGTTCGTTTGTCAGTGAAATAAGTACGTTTAGCTACGGATAAACTGGAAGCTGCTTTCCCGCGTGTTTAGGCAGCTCAGTGTCGGCTCTCGCGAATTTAGTCTGAATTTAGTTGATGTTAATTTGTTCGGATGCCAACATCGTGTATCTTCGTCCCTTCGATCTTCGATTTGTCGAGTGTTCTGCTTCTCCGGTAGCTATCACAGAATACAAATGTATCATACATGACTCGTCTATATGTCCGTCGGTTTATTTCGTAGTAAGAAGCGGTTACTTACAGTCTTATCCGTAGCTAAAAAATTTGTTATCCTTTTACCACGCGGGAACACGGCCGCGGAGAATGATGAGTATAACTTTCTCAAGACATTGACTGTTCATTTGATGATATCTCTTTCCCTTTTCCGGTCACAGTTTTGTCGACTTTCCAAATCGCTCCCGCACTAAACCATGGGTTTACACTTGATCCCTTCAAAACCCGTTTGAACAAGGGTGGCGCAAGTCCAGAACTTTTACTCTCTTCTATGATTCGATGTTTGTAATCTGTAGTCTAGGTAAACTATCGTCCCTCGATGCTAATTCGGAAATGTTACGTTAACAAATCGTTACGTTGTGAATGAAAAGGAATCGCCTCTAGGAGTCTATAGTTGTTTAAAGGCTGAATATAAGAGAGATTGAATCTAAAATGTCTGGAGGCAGAATTGACCTAATTGTTGCCTTTACAGACCGAACCAAATTAAAGAGAAAATTTTCAATAACTTCCTATCCCTTGCCTTACAATTTGACGTTGTCTCATTTCATTTCGCCTGTTAAGGTTCACGGCTATGAATAAATCGTTAACCCACCGCAGTATAATCGTTAAACGTAAAAGTAACAGCGTCATAAAATAAAATATAAGATGTAAAGGTAGTGTGCGATACAAGAAATCAACTCCTCGATAAACCGCGCTAACTCTTCCTATATCTGTGCGATTACCAATGACTACTTATGAGTGCGCGAAACATCGTGCACTTTTAGCGCAAAGAACGGCTACAGAGCTGTACTTTAACTTCGATCGAGCATTTTCTTGTAGGTTTATGTGATTCTTGTTACAGTAATACACAAACAATTGCCTCGGTTGCGCGTCTCTGATTACTTGCCCCGAAACCGCTGATACTTTCAGTGTAAACGCCATCTCGTAAACGTCAATTCGAGGACGGTTTCCAAGGAAATAATGCTCTGCAAAGTCTATATGAAGTTTTCGCTTGGTTTCTTGGAAGCTATCCGCGAATTGAATGCTTGTGTTATTTAACAATACTAATTAGAAGTGATGGAAGACTCACTTCAAGCAATATCATTCTGACAGAGCTCGTTTCCGGGAGATCATCGTTTTATGGTGAAAGTTGTGGCTAAACCACTGTCTCACTACGTACGGCAGTGATAGCAACCTTATTGAAGTGTTCCAGTCTTCTTACCGTTACAAACCAATTTACTTTAGGCACCCTCATTATACTATATAACAACATTGCTCTTTCAGTCTTGACGACCGAAAATATTTAATTCTAGTTTTGTTATTTCGCAGCGGCGTTTGATACTGTGGCGCATAAGTTAGTGTTAAAGATTTGTGGACGTGTTTTGAATCCATTCACATCGAGAATGCTGTCCCGCATGGGGACTTTGTTTCCCGTGACATGACAGGTACAGTACCGTGTCCTTAACAGCAGCGTACCCAACGACTTCTCCGGACGATCTCTGTTGGTTGGTTGGAAAGTAGTTCTCGTACACTGATCAGTCAAGGGGTCCCATATTTGGGTTTGTTAGTGCTCGGTCTCGGGTCCTATTCATGGAGGCAAAGACAAAATACATGATGTGTAGCCTTTGAGTTTTTTCAGGATCGAACCTCATGTTGAGGGTGCAGAGGAGTTAAGTTTATATGTACTACATTTATAAAGTTATACATCTTGAAATTAAATATCCGTTCAATTCACGAAAACAGTCCGCTGTCTCCATTCCCAGTATACTTGTTTGTGATAACTGTGCCCTGTGAAAAGCACTGACCGCTTAACAATGTAACCATGGAAACATGAATTGCTTCGTGCTCCTTGCCTTGTACTTCAAGGCTATCAACGAATCAGACTGAAATCAAGGTCAAACTAACTTTTCTGCTCCATGGTGTGACCATTTCAAAATAACTTAAATTGTTTCTTACTTAGTAAGAATCTAATATCTTACTTGAAATTTGCGACTTTGGTTGAAGCTTGCTTCTGATCACTCAAAGGAGAAAGCTGTTCTGGAAGGAAAAAGGCTGGGTTGGTGAGACCCAGCGAATATGGTTTAGCTGTGGAAAGATCTCGCCTTTATTCTCGAGATCAGAGTCCCGCAAGTTGTCCGCGGAACATTTGACTTACTCGCCATGTTGGTTGAATTGGTGAGTGACTGGAAGGGAAAAAAGGCTGGGTTGGTGAAACCCAGGGAGTATAGTTTACGTTGGAAAGATTTCGCCTTTATTCTCGAGATCAGAGTCCCGCAACTCGTCGGCGGCACATTTGACTTACTCGCGTTGTTGGTTGAGTTGGTGAGTGACAGGTGACCCTGACGTAAAATACGAAGTGCATCAATACGAACGAGCCTGCATTGCTCTATTGCTGGCGTCATCACCGTAAATGACCTACTAAACACTCAGGGCGTTTATTTAATTTTAGATAAAAGGCGTTCAAAAGGGAGAGGCGTTTATTCTCGTGACTTTAACAAGCCCAACAAAACTAATAAGCTTTCGGTAAAAATATCAAGAGAGTTTGAAAATAGCGGAATATTCACTCCATCAATTGATACGTCTAGATCCCAACATCGATGTCAGAATCCTCGCTCAGGGTCACTGTGTTACCTTCATTAGTCTATCCTTAGTTTGAACATGACATTGAGCAAGATGAAATACACAGAGCCTCGTTAATAAGGCAAGAAACTGAATGAATCGAATGATTTTGCTCTCTTTTGCTAATTCCTAGCATTTTGTAGTAATTCTCATAGGGGGCGTTTATTAGAGAGGGGCCTCTAATGTAATTTAAACAGCGTAGAGGGGGTGTTTTTTAGATAAGAGGCGTTTATATAGAAGTGGGTGTCTATTATGCCATTTACGGTACTCCAAATATCTAGTGTACATTGTGATCTGTAAGTATTAAATAAAGTTTGGAGTATATTAGTTCACATCAACTTTGGGAGCCGGCCGAACTAGCATAAGTGCCGGAGAACACCAGTGTAAACGTGGACTTTTTCCCTCGAGTCACAAGCAAGTGCCTCAAAACTATTCGAGCTTCGCTAAGGTGAATCGCCAAGGTCTGTATGTATGACTTGAGCAAAATTGGGAGGAGGCGACGAACGCTGTCGAGGAAAAGAGGAGGGGCTGGGGTGGCGAATCGCTAGTTCTGTTTTTTGCTTAATTGCGAAATGCGACTGCGTGTGAATGTAAATGCGAGTGGCCAAGACGTTTGTGACAAAATGCCACTCTCGCGGACGTACCTTTAAGGAAGTTAAGGCGGGAAGTAAAATTTGCCAGTTGCTGGAACCTATGCCCCGTTTACACTTTCCTTTTTTGGGAAACTTGTATTATTCTCCTGATTTGCCTTCCGTCCACTCGTGTCACAAGAGTCACCTGAAAACGCCGCAACCTCTCAAAACCGCTCTAGATTGGACACTTGAAAACGTCGTTTTCTTGTCCTTAACGGTGCTCTTGGAAAACATGAAATGATGGTATTTATTTTTCGTGCAGGATAACAATATCTGCAATGTTCAAGCTCACTATTTCCGATGGAGGGTTGTCACAATAATGAGGCCTTCCTTTACACCCCAACCTCACCATACGATAAGACCATATGGAATTTCTGGAAGGTAGGGTAACCTTAATACAAATCCAGCAGGGTATCCCTGCTTAGGAACTAAGTTCACTTTTTTTTATAAAACGCTTGATCAGAGGTAGTAGAGCCTAAAAGGCGAGTAACACGGAACAACTCGGATGTTGTGGGTTAGACTGCAGGGACCGCGGAGAGGGTGGGAAACCCGCCACTTTTTGACTGAGATGTTAGGAGAAAAAGAGTTTTAACGTCTGTCCTGAACCTTTCAACGTTTTTCTGCTCTTTTTACATGACTCCCTTTATATCAGACTTATAAGCCCTCACAATTTGCGCCATTATTGCCGAAAGGATGCCGGTTAGATTTCAGATTTTCTGCGTTAAAATATTATTGTTCAAGTCTGCTGCATCAAAGGGAGAGAATGTTCAGAAAACGTCTTTTAAAAATTGAAGTAGCCCTGTGTTTTAGGTCTGAGCGAGCAATTACTGACGCTGAAGCGTCAGAAAATCAAACGGGCGAGCTTGACTCGTCCCCAGTCATCTCTCAACCTCGAGAGAAGCGCGGCTCTCTTGGGTCACGCTTCTCCCGTTCGCCCCTAGCTTCTTGGAAGTTATTTATCCGTCAGGGTCTTGGCTTATTCTATCATATCTAAATATTTTGAGATGGGAACAATTTTATCTTTAACTTCAAGGAGCGCAAGCTTAGTTTCCGACTTTCTCAAGCCTTATTTGCAATATAATCATTGATAATTTAGTGCAGTCTGATAGTTTTGTCTTGATTTGTATGCATTTTTCGCCATTTCGTAGGGGTACAAGCCCTGCCCGGCCTCCTCTTTCCTTCCCCTCTCAGCCCTGTTCCGCGGTCCTTGGACAAGACGTAGAAAAGCTTGGAGGCGGAAATCACTGTCCGCGTACACAGAGGAACTGGGGAGAATTTGATTCAAGGCCAATTGAAGGCTAATTCGGATTAAAAAAACATCCGTCTTCAACTAGAAACAGAATGAGATATATGTGGACCGACAAAAACAATTAATGCAACGTTTGAATGAGAATTTTTTGAAAAAGGAGAATAAAAACGGATTGGTGTGGACCGGGCCTTAGAGCTTCAAATGGTTGTTGGCATCTGTCACCTCTTTTTCAGTGAGGTTCCACTGTGAGAATCAAAAAATTGTCAGTGTCGGAATTTTGAGAACAGCTATTTAAAAACAAAGCTCTTGTTTCAGGCAATTTATCTTTGCGTAAAAATAATAGTTTAAAGTCCATCAGAAAGTCAGGAAAAGCGGCTTCAGGTTGACGTCAGTGACGTACTTTATTGGTACTCAATTTCGCGATTTTCATTGTCAAAAACTCGCGAAAATAACGACCCCCGAATTTAAATTGTCGCGAAACTTAAGGACGCAAAATTGAATACCCATGTAGAAAATTGAAAACACAGAAAAATTTATTAACATGTGATAGCAACAACATATACAGGATAAGTATGGACAAATGCACAAATTGTTAACTGGTTTTACTGCTACCTTTCCTTTTGTTTCCTCAGTTGTGAAATAACGTAAATTCGACACATTGCTTGTTCCAGTTTATCAAGAAATTTTTGATAAGTTCAGACGGCTTTTGAAAACTAAAATGAAGTCGAGAACGCGAAATCTCGAAATGTAGTGCCCTTTTTTCATATTTGGCTGTTGAAATCGCGAAAATAAAACCCTGCCAAATATTGTCTCACCAAAATCGTGAAATTAAATACCAATAAGGTATAGTAATCTAAGGCCCGTTTCAAACGTCGTGCCACTGCTGTGCCGAACTCAATTACTCGAATTTAATTCGACTTTAGCACGGCAGTAGCGCGACGTTTGAAACCAAGTCGTGCTATTGCCGTGTAGCACGGCAAGCCTTGCCGTGCTACACGGCAGTAGCTCGACTTGGTTTCAAACGTCGTGCTGCTTCCGTGCCGAACTCAATTCATAAATTATAAATACATTAGAATACATTTTAAAGTTTGCTAAACCATTTCTATATTTTTGTGTTTTGTTTTCGGCAAGAGCCGTTCTATTCGACTGAATTAAATTCGACGTCTGAAACCAAGTCGTGCTACTGTAGCGCGACGTTTGAAACAGGCCTAAGAGAGGTGGAAGAAATAATGATGAAAAAAAGGGTAAAGAGGAATATCAACCCCTTTACGGCGTTTGAGGTCTAGCGGACGTATCTTGCTCATTTATACTGGATTATTCTATCCGGGTGTATGTACTTATCAAGGCTTTGATCAGATGACGTCTCCTATATTCAGACACCGAGACGGAAATTCAGTTGATCTGAGTGGTTTTAGGCGATATCAGTTTTAAGGCGATTTTGAGGTGTTTTGGATATTGGGTGAAACGCTTGTCCCGGTGTTTGACATGGCTTCGTGACCGAAATAACGAAAAGTTAACAACCTCCAAGTAACTCGCCCGTAGAGTCCGGATGTATGCCTCTCCCAGGCGCACCCAATCATTGATCAAGAAGCAACAACACTCTGACCGATGACGTAACTATGCTTCAGAACCGAAGCGTCTGTTTAGATCAGACGTGTGAACGTTACGGGCTAATAACCGTTTCGTTACTCACTTAAAATTAAAATGTTTGATAGCAGGTTATGTTTGTCTAGAAGCGTTTTAACAACAATTGGTAAGTAAAAGAGACATCAACTCCTCGTCTGGCTCAGTAGTGCACCTGCTGCTGATCTAAAGAAACAAAGTTATGGAAGGTCTGACTGCTGACAGCCATTGCAAACTCGAACTCACACTCGTCTCGAGGTGACACTCTACAAGACCTCCCCCGTCGCTAGAGTCATAACAAAACTACAACAAAAGGATTTATCATAATAGTACACAGTACAAGACAAGCACACTCAAATTTGTAGATAAAATATTTTTAATGGATGTGCTTCTTATATATTAAGCTAAAAGAGTATTGTGTCAATTAGATCCTGATTGAACTTGGATAGAAGTTTTTTTTCCCCGTAAAACAACACTTTCTTGTGTCAATAGTTTTCCAGAAGTTTGTCATTTTCTTTCGCCAGTCCATTTTACGTCGTCCTGATATATTTGCATTTAAACTGGGACTTGAGTCGCAAGCATGCGGTCAGTCGTCGCTTACCAAAGAACCGCCAAGATTCAGCATAACTGACCGTCATTCGGTGGTCCCTCAACTTTGCTATTCATTTTCGAATACCTGTTATTTGAATAACGTCGTAGTTGAGTTCAAAATTGTCTGCTGTACATCATTAGTTAGTAATCAAGCAGCTGTGGCAGCTGAACAGCTGGGCTTTACAATTCCTAACTTTAAGAGTCTGTAATCTATACCCCGTTGCCTAGGAAACTACCAGTAATGGTACCCTAATAAGACTTGAAGGAGGCTCCAATAGACACATTCATTTTGGGGTCACTCGCTCAGTGATCCCAAGGAATCGTTATACTCAAGCTCAGTGAAAGAACTTACTAATAATCCAGTCGACAGCGACACTAATTGGATTTTGCGAGATAACTGACAAACTGTGTCAAGTGCTCTTCTTACGGACACCTCTCTGCTACACACGGAACACCGTTTTATACAGCTCCTGCCTCTGTAATAGGGGAATTCAAGCAGGCAAGACGGCGACAGTAACGGCCGAACGTCATTTTAAAGGCGCATTCGCGTTTTTTCAAAATTTGTGGTGGTTATTTCGACTGGCTCAATTCGTCAAATGAAGGCGAGTTTTCCTGGAGTTCAATTTTTAGGGAGCACATCAAATTTTTAAAATAGAATGTAAAAGTTGTCGTTGAGTGTTTACATCCTCTTTAATATGCAGTTGCAAAAGTTCACGTTGTAGTTGTGCAGTGACGTTGAGTCGCCCTCTTCCTAAAACAGAGACATCTCTATCATATACTTGTTATTTCTCCCTTGAGCTGTACTTCTATTCTTTTCTCAATGGTTTTTTTTATTTTCTAAACTTTCTTTGCGCTGGAAACTGAAAATGTTTATTAGAGATTTTCGACACCTGACCGCTCTCCTATACAGGGCCACTGTAAGTCGAAAAATGTTTTTGAATGGTGAGTGAATCACCTACGAACAAGCAGTTCTGTACCTTTAAATACATTGACTGTGAATTCATCACGAAGTTAGAGACGATTTTGTTGTAGTCACTCCCTCCCCCCTGAAAAAAAAAAAAAAACATTAGTTTGTCCACTTGTCAAGAATCTCTAAAATATTAAATGATATATATTTACATTTTGTTAAAAGTGGGTATATCTCTACTGTAAGCCAACCGTTTTTGAAGATACTGAGCCATTCATCAGTTCCGTACTCGGCAGTGATTTTATTCGTGACAAAATTGCAGTACATAAAGGCTTCATATGAAAAGTCATTGCTACGTCTTACGACATGTCCGCCTCAGATACTTTCTCTTGTTAGCCTGAGTATCAATATCAGTTTAACCAGTCTAAAGTGACCGCATTTTGCTGGCCGTTTTTTTTCATAGTCTTGGTGGTTTGCCTCTTTCCATTGGTGTAGATGAAGGAGCAGGGCCAGACCCGTGTCCCGTGACCCGTGTACAGTGACCCGTGTCCCGTGCAATGCTTCTATTACGGTGTAGTAAGCAAGTGAATTCGCCTAAAGAAACGATTCTTAGTTGCTTTTTTTAAAATGTAGGAACAAAAGGAGAGGGCCATTTTAGTGATACAAGGTGAAGTATTTCACTGCATAACCAAAGGCACCTTGTCCGTGCCGAACATTGACGGATATTTTGGGGTTTGGTTCATGAAATTTTGTCTTTTTGTGCATTTTGAAGTGCATATAACACTAAGATCTTTAAACAACAGTTAGCTTTATCATGATTATTCGTTTTAAAATTTTAAACCTGTTCCTTCTTGGATCCCCCATCCTGTTAATTACTCCTGCGGTGTCATTTTTATTATTCTTTTTCCGAGGCAGGGAAGCATTCGAAGTGTTACATACATGTAGCCTTTATCTTTATTACTGTGTCATACGCCCCTGACTTATTTTGTCGTGAAACTGCTGATCGTCAAATAGAGCAGAGTACCCGCTTGAAATATATCATTAACAAACTCGAGTTACAACCAAATAGAATCATATTAAACGCATGAAATCGAGAGACTTGACATTACTGTTAAACAATTTTGCACATTTTATTACTCAGTTTATGTGAAACATGTAAAAAAAAATGGGATAGCCTGTTTACTGGCTGAGGTTTTTCCACAATATCAAGTTTGTAGGATATTTTTCTTTTTTACATTGTGCAAGTTGAATCAAGCAGAATTGAACCATGTTTTTCCTATTCTTTTTTCGATTGTTATTCTAAAATATCCGTCCAGTAAAGACATCCTAAAAAATGTATTGTATTAAAATTTTGTAAAATGAAAAAACCAATTTGCGAGTCACTTCAGTAGCATGTGCAGCCGTAGCTGAAATATGGTAATTGCTTGCACCACGTATTTTATTGAGTTCAAGATATTGCTTTAAAGGAACTTTAGGTTGTGACGAGAGAGGAGCTTCTTTTCTCGGTTACAAGATTGGTTTTGCTTGCGTGGGAACTTTCCATTGGTATTGTTTTACAAATGTAGTGTGTTTGCAAAGACTTTTGTTTCGAGCGGGTGTGTAAAACAATGCTAGGGAACAAAACACACTTTTCACACAAAGACAAACACGTGCTCCAGAATATGGCCTTGTAATGTTTTATTTACATTTTGCTTTATACCGACAACAATGGTCCCGTTGAAGAATCATGTATCACGGCGCTTCGAAGCAGTAGATCATTCCAAAAGTCGATTGTTTATTTTTTACAGCCAATTAGCTCAAGTCGTTCTCACGACCCCGGGCTTAAGCTCTTCCGAGTATCCCTTACGTCAAAGTAAAGTAAAATAAAAAGTGGTTAAAATGATCCTAATAATATCGACTTCATACGCTATGGCTTGGTGAAAAGTATCACTAATTTGTCAAGTAGACTTCAAGTCTCGGGCGTTAAATGGCGTTAATGTGATATAATTGTCATGAAATATTGCTTTGATTGCACGAGAGTGCCGTTTTTTCTTTTCTTCGCGCGAGTAGAGGTGAATGCGCGAGTCTTCTGTTTTAACCTTATTAGCATAGCGCGTGCAGGGAACGCTTTGTTTTTGAGTGCCGAGTGACCAATCACATTGCTTCGTTCTCACGCTATCAGTCTCAGCTGCCAGTGAAAGCCAAAATACCATTCATCTGACAAAAATGCAGGCTCTTTAAAAACAAAATACGATGTTAATAAGCTGGGTTTGGGAACTCGGAGCAAGAGATTTTCCCACGGCTGGGAAAGTAAATAAAAACGCCGTGCTCAACCCAACTCGCGTTCATTTGTCACTTTCTTTGGTAGTAGAAGGATAGGGCCTACATTGTTCCCTAATTTTTTATTTCTAAAATTAAGACGATCAAACCAAATACCCATGGTTCAGGAATCTTCCAAGTTGGAGAAAGAGAATGATTCGGAAAGTCGAAAGGTAAAATCTCTCTTCCCCCATTTGTAAAATATTTGCAATCTTCGATCCCTTGAACCAGACTTCCAAAATTGTAACTTGGAAAAACTTGTATTTCTTTAATACTTTGTGGTTAAACAATATTGCTTAATGAAAGTTATCTTAGTATCTTGTAAAGAGCGCGCTGATCGTAATGTCGACTGCTCAACTTATGAGCTGTTCTGTCTCGAATGACATTTAATTGAGATGAATTAATATCCCGGCCATCTTTCTTGTTTTTTTCTGTAGTGGTCTAAGCCAATTATGGAGAAAAGAAGGCGTGAGCGAATCAACCGAAGCCTTGAAGAACTTAAAAGACTTGTTCTAGAAGCGCAGAACAGAGATGTAAGTCCGCTGTGTCAGCAGCAAAACATTGATACATGTTCAATACAGTTGACATCCTTATTTTTTAAATTAAAACTTTTTGTTTTGTTCAGATACAAGTTTATGAACTCGTTAAAGTTACTTGTTCTATCTAACTTTATGCATGAATGGGTCTGCTTTGATCTTTGTCTTGTCTGTGAATGAACCGGGTTTATTTTCACGGATGCCTAGTATAGGGGTCGCGAATTTCTCTCTAGTCAAGAATGTTTGAACAGTTTTTAATGTCACATCTGTCTCGTTGCGAAAGCCGATCGTGACATACTGCCGCGAATCACTGATTCGATTAGACATTTTACAGTTTATGCAATCGGATCTTGTGATTATATCTTTTTCCCACGTCAGTGTTAAACACAACTTTAGCCACTTTCGTGTAGATGTTCACAATTTTGAATTTCTTTTGCCAGTGGTCTGTTAATTAACCATAGCTAGTTAACTGCAATGGTTACGTGACTGCTGTGTTTGTCTCCAGTAAGGGAAGTATTAACGTTCCTTATTGTAATCGCATTTGTAGAGTTCAAGATACACAAAGCTTGAAAAGGCCGATATCTTAGAAATGACTGTTCGCCATCTACGTAGCTTGAGGCATCACCAGCGAGGTAAGACATAAGTACCTATAACTTTATAATGATGACTTAATGAATCAGTCTGAATCTTGAGGTGGTGTATTTAATTTAATTACTTAACCGCGAGAAGGGAATAAAAAGGCAGGTTCTTTTACTTTGTGGCGGATCTCTGGTATTGGCAGGTGCTTGGCGGGCGGGCGGAACATCTGCGGCAAAAGCTTTCTTTAATTCTCTAATCAACGGACTATTAGCGTTGAACCTGCAAAAAAGAGAGACTATAATACCGCTTAATTATGTTAGTAGCTTTGGGCGTCATTTGCACCGCCCTGGCCAAGCTTGGTTATAAAAGAAGAAACTAAAAGTTCTTAGAGAATACTAGTGGCAAGAACAAGATGTGGTGAAAAATATATTGAGGCATTTGTAATATACAATTATCTTTTGTAGAGTATTCAGTGTGCATTAGTAGAGTAAGATCTTCAATTGGCTGCTTAATTTGATTTCCTTTAGGCAATTTGTAATAATTTCTTATCGAAATTGTTCAATAAATCTATAACCGCTTGTTTTCAAAACTTTTCACTCCTTTATCGATTGTTGTGATTAAATTCACTTCCGCTTCTTATGTCTAAAATTAGATTTGCAGGGGGCCAGAAATTGCAATGCTAAACGAAGTTATCACGTTTCAAACCTATTGTCTTGTGGATAACTTTATCGTTAATCAGCAAAAATAACCAGTAACGGGAACAGAATGAGATGGTATAAATGTCTGAATAGTTTCGATTAACAAGAAAAAAGTTCTTTGAAAGTTTGCTTTTTCTATTAAAAGGAAAAATAAATTAATTGCAAAAACATGAACTAAATGTAGTGAACTTTATTTCATAATCAGTTTCCCTTCTTGTTCTTGGTAAATTTGATTTATTCTTTTCTCTGCACTTAGCCTTTTAGTATGACAACTTAAGGGAACCGTTGAGCCACACATGTGTAAAGTCATATATATATATTTAATATTTGGTTAAAAGAAACTGTGTCACGAAAATGAGCCAAATTCAGTAACTGGCAACCAAGCGAAATATAAAGAACCGCTAAAATCATTTAAGGATATTGTACATAACTCAGCAAATACAAAAAAAGACACGGTTGGGAAAAATTAAAGAACGGATTGCAGTTGAGTTTTTCGAAAACTGGTTTTCAAAGTTCATCCTTACTGTTTGTAATTTATAATATAACGCTCGAAAGACATGATTGTTACGAAGCTTTGATTTTGTCATTTACAGGTAATTTCATTGTAAGCCTAGCGAATGAAAAAGTAATTGACAATACCAAACAAAGTAGACTGCGTTAAGCCAATTAATCTACGATAACGGCCGTTTAATGAACTCTTTCAGTTTCACTAGTCACAAGAATAAGAATAAGAACAAGTTAGTGGGGAATTATGTTGGCTTGAGCTTTCTCAGAAAATTAACTTTTGTTCCTTTTTTTTTCACACAGTGTTGGCTTCGTCAGACCCGCACTTACTGCTGAAGTATCGCGCGGGATTCAGCGCTTGTGTAGCGGAAGTGTCAGAGAGTGTGGTCAGAGACGATCGTTTGGCACCTGACCTAAAGGTGCAAATCTTGTCTCAGCTTGCTAACTGCCCCAGCTCACCAAGAGTAGCAAACGATATTCCGATACATCCTAGCGATTGTCCTTAGGGTCGTAGATAGTTCAAGCTCCGGAGACCCCTAGAGCGACACTTTCTTGGTGCTGTCTATAAGAAATCTCTCGGGGATCTTAGGCCGAGAAGCAGTTGAGCCCGGTGATAGAGCGCATATGTGGTTCAAAGACACCGGATACTTCCTTCGACTGGGACCATTCCAATGCAATATCTGCCGGTATTAAGTACCGATTCTGGGAGCTCCTCAGGGGTACACCGTGCTTTGGTCCCAAGTAGGACTTCATCGGGTTTACACCTAACGGACCCCCTCTGGCGACCTTGGTGATGAGTATGGCAGAAGTATTGGATAACTTTCGCCGGGGCAACAGAGTATTAGTTGGACGAGATTTTGTTCAAATTGTTTAATATTACTTCCAACACTTGTAAAATAAGTTTAAATAGATTGTTTTAATACTAATATTATATATTTGCTGGAGATTTTGATTTTAAAATAAAGAACTTTAAGATTATCAGAGTCATTTTGTTTGCCCTCCCTTACCTCCGCCGCCGTAACCTGGGACCAGGCTCCACAGTGGGGAAAGGCCAAAAAGCGAGGAACGGGAAAAAAAATCGGCGAGCGAAGCGAGCCCAGTGGTGGTCTCGGGAAGGGATAAGGGCGGCTGAGCCTGGAGACATGCCTTTGATGTCGGCGTTCCATGATGCCAGATTCTGTTATCATGCTCTGATTGGTCAAATGGCTTCATGTTGACAGTATCGCGCTCTTTCAGTGTCATGCGCCTACCATTCGGAAAAAAGATTTTTTGAACACAAGAATTTCGAGCGAGCAAACAAATTTCTCTGCGTGACTTTTCGCTTATCCTTCGGCGCCAAGAAGAGCAAAAAATGTGCCTGTGATCAGCTGCGGAAAGAAAAACTAAGCATTCAAAATATCGAGCTTCAAGTTCATATAACTCTACTGTGAAAAACTACGGTCACATTTCCAAAGCGATTGGCCCCAAAAGTCACAGCGTTATAGTAACGCTCCTTCCAAAAGCGTAATAAAACCCAAGAATCAGTAGATACAATATACAAAGAATACATGTTGCGTACAGCTAAGCCTTGTGTTTCGAGAACGCGTAAACCACAACTGTACCGAGCTACCCTGTGAGCAGTTGTTTCTCTCTTGCTTTCAGCGTGTGAGTCTTTCGCGCGCGTCGCTTGTCAGTCGCGTAGTTAACAAACCGAATACGCAACTCTAAGGGCGATTGACTTCGTTAACGCTAAAAGCTATGCATGCAAGAAAAAAACATCTGCTCGCAGACTAGCACAAAGACAACAGCAGTTGAGGAAAATCAGGGAAAATGATTATTACTGACTTTTAAACGATTTTGAGCAAACAAATTACTTACAAAACGGACAACAAATTCAACGACAGGAATACACTCAAACTGAATAATCTGTCGCATAAGATGCTAAACTTACACATTTTTCCACATTTCGTCTGGTACGTTTATTAGAAGAAGCTATGTAACCGAGCATTATGACGCACACTGTGAACTTGAGGGATCTCCTTGCGAATCTATTTGGCTGTTTTTCTCCGGTTGGACGCGGCGCATTTTCCTGTAAAATGTCCTTACTACTCTTCGCCGAAGTAGGTGTTACTCCAGTTGGCGTTCTCTTTGCTTTCACTCTTACTCGTCTGGAATACAATTTTTTTTTAACAAAGGCGACATAATAAGCTCACGCTGACATCCGTGTTGAGAACTTGACGTGATGACATTTTAATGACTAGTTCATTGCTGGAGGGCGGATCGGCGGCATCAAAGGCATGTCTCCAGGCTCCGCCTCCCTTTCGCCTACCCCAGTACACCGGTCGGCTCGGTCCGCTGGCCGTTTTTTTTTTTTTCACGTTCCGCGCTTTTTGCCCTTTCCCCACTGCGGAGTCTGGACCCAGGCTACCTTCCCCTTTATAAGTTGCTTTGCAAATAAGACTGACAACAGCACGAATTCCCCGCCTTTGTCGCCTTCACATCCAGTGTTCTCATCAAGCTTGTATACTTCAACATTATTGTATAATAACAACTTTTTGTACATTGGGTTTAATTACAGCAAGGTGAAGTGTCAACGCTATTTAAAAGAGAAGCGGCAGGGGTATTTTGCAGAACGTTGAATGCAGATCGCCGAATGACTGTTTAGTGATTAGGGTTGGGAAACTGAGAGAATCAGGTTCCACTTAGGGTCATTTAACTGGGAAAACAGACCTAACACTTCATTCACGATGTTTCCTAACCCTAATCACTAAACTTTAGAGTCATTCAGTGTTCTTCAGTTCGACAAATGCAGAACGCTGAATGACTCAAAGGTTAGCGGTTAGGGTTAGAAACTGAGTGAATCAGGTTATATTTAGAGTCATTGTATCGGGAAAACTGACCTGAAATCACTCAGTAGTGCTAACACTAATCACCAACCTTCGGAGCTATTCGGTGTTCTGTAAAATACCCCTGCCGCTGGAGCTGGTGGCTTAGGAGGGCAGAGTATCCTTTGATTAGTGAAACAAGCCCATCCCGGAGGCTGAATCCGTCGACTCTATGTTTACATGATTTCACTTTTGCACACTGTGTTGCAACAACTAAAAAAGATAGCTCAGTTTCCTTTTTCTCCCCGAAAGCTGTAGCCCCACAGAGCGCAGAGAAGTTGTGTTAAACCTACCGACGTTTTCTATCGGTCGCGGCGGGATTTTTCGGAGTCGGTCACATGTCTACACACCTTAGGCCGAAGGCTGAAACCGGAAAAATCTCGGGAACTTATGATATGTTTGATCTTGATTCAAATTAACAGCGCAAATCGCCCTGGTTTTCTTTAGGATATGAACGAAAGTGACCTCATATGGAAGCGGTACCCGATCGTGTTACAATCTGCTGCTTCATGCAGTTTGCGGTAGCATGAAAGCAATTAAAATAATTCACCACTCTCATGACCGTTCCGGCGGCTACGTTTATATTGTGCAGTATTAAAACAAGGGTGATTTGCGCCAAGAATTAAACTGGAATCAAGTTTAATTTAACTATAACTCCTCTCAGCCTCGTCCTATTCCCAAGCTAGCAACTTGTACAAAGTAACGCGACCTGACAGGACAAGGCTGATTAAGCATGCGCAGTCTCCGCGCCATTTCTTTCCCTTTTGATCAGTTCTTGATCTTCAGTAACCTCGATGCTTGGAAACTGTTTCTCACGCTCTGCCTTGGACAAACGGATTCTCAATTCTCTGATTTCTCTGTCCTTCTACATAAAGAAAAAGTAATGAATTTGCGTTAAAGTAAAACGGTACGTAGAAGAAGAAAAGCACAAATGACCTGAAAATAACTTGTAGTTACNACCTCATATGGAAGCGGTACCCGATCGTGTTACAATCTGCTGCTTCATGCAGTTTGCGGTAGCATGAAAGCAATTAAAATAATTCACCACTCTCATGACCGTTCCGGCGGCTACGTTTATATTGTGCAGTATTAAAACAAGGGTGATTTGCGCCAAGAATTAAACTGGAATCAAGTTTAATTTAACTATAACTCCTCTCAGCCTCGTCCTATTCCCAAGCTAGCAACTTGTACAAAGTAACGCGACCTGACAGGACAAGGCTGATTAAGCATGCGCAGTCTCCGCGCCATTTCTTTCCCTTTTGATCAGTTCTTGATCTTCAGTAACCTCGATGCTTGGAAACTGTTTCTCACGCTCTGCCTTGGACAAACGGATTCTCAATTCTCTGATTTCTCTGTCCTTCTACATAAAGAAAAAGTAATGAATTTGCGTTAAAGTAAAACGGTACGTAGAAGAAGAAAAGCACAAATGACCTGAAAATAACTTGTAGTTACTTACAAAAATACTGGAAACAGCTGTTGGTTAACTCCTTGGTCCCCTTACCTATGGTTAACTATCACCCTATCTATATCTAAAATCGCTGGTTCATGGGTTGTTAAGGTGGCTCGATACAGTTTTTCAAGGCCAATACCTCCCAAGTTTGAGCATAAACTACGTTGCCATAAACAAAGTTTTGGAAAAATTGCCCCCGCAGTTGTATTAGATAAAGATGAAAATCTTTTATGATCAGGGTTGCAATGACATCGGAGTTGACATAGCAACGAAATGACGCTATTACCTATTTTACATACAGAAGTTTTTCTCGGCACTGAGAACTGTTCTTCCAAAATTATTCACGGGAGCTTTTTACTCCAATAGCCGCCTCGATGTTCGTGAAGTTTAAGCGAAATCTGTAAGAGCGTTATCGAGATATTTTGGGATCAAGATTTTGTGGTTAGAAATACGGTGAAAAATGGATAATCTTGATGTTCGGCTGTTATCTGTAGAAAATAAAGCGCTTTTGACATGCAATTTCACCTGATAGTAGTTTCAATCTTTTTAAAAACGTGTGTGAAAGACCGTGGAGATATCTCTAGCCGATTGCTAGAAAGAAGGATTTGATGAGTGTGTATCGAGGCGCTTTTGTTAGCGGTTTTTGAACATTTTGGTCTACTTTAACAAATTAGCGAATAATTTTTAAACCACTCGATAGATTTTTTTAAAAAAAATAAGATTCTTGAGATTAACCTTTCTTTTATATGACCCTTTAGTTTCAAGATTATTGATATATTGTAAGGCAGTAAAATATTTTTTTCATTTTCTACAGATAACGGCTAAACAACAATATTGTCCATTTTTTACTGTGTTTCTAATCATAAAAACTTCATCCCAAAATATCTCGATAACGCTCTTACAGATTACGCTTAAACTTCACGAACATCGAGGCTACTATTGGAGGAAAAAGCTCCTGGAATAATTTTGGAAGAACAGTTCTCAGTGCCGAGATACACTGCTGCAAGTAAAATAGGTAATAGCGTCATTTCGTTGCTATGACAACTCCGATGCCGTTGCAACCCTGATCATAACAAATTTTCATCTTTATCTAATACAACTGTGGTGGCAATTTTTCCAAAACTTTGTTTATGGCGACGTAGTTTATGCTCAAACCTGGAAGGTATTGGCCCTGAAAAACTGTATCGAGCCACCTTAACGTAATATTCAGTAACGACCCCGGAAGTGTCTAGTATGGTGACCGGAAGTATTTTTTCCCGCCACGTGTCAGTGCCTCACGATAGGGCGGTCTTGCAATCTTCTTCGCGATTATTCCAACTCACTTTCCTTACCCAATGTAGGCGAACTAGAAAGACAAAAATTTTAGTCGTTGCTTGTTTACGCCCTCAACAAAATGTAGAGGTGCAGTGACCGCCAAAAAAGTACAAATATTGAGATGCAAGTGCAAAGTATTGCTAATTAGGGCAACTCCGCTCTGCCCGTACTACGATTCCCGAATACCTAGGAAATCGTGGCGGACCGTACTGTGACGAACTGGAAGTTCAATATCTTGAAATCTGAAAACTCGTACCCTTCGAAATCTTCAATTATTGACCTAGTGAAAAACATTTTTCTTAAAAATTGTTCATACCGCAATAATCTTGTTACTTAAGTTCTTCATCGATTGTAACTTGCGCTTTAAAATTATATAGGTGTAACTTCATTTTGTCTCTTGAGTTCTTTAACTGTTCTTTAACTGCCTGTATCTCTCTCAGGTTCGAACCCGGACCTTTCGTATCCTTATTTCTCTCCTTTAACACTACACTACCCGGCACCGACCTGCAAAGTTCCATAAACTAACAAACTGTTTTTCTCAACTGATACATCAATAACAGGTGACCCCAGCCCTTTGCATAAATTTTATCGTAAATTCGACTTGGGCTTCAACGTCTTTCTTTCGAAGACTATTCAAAAACGTATTATTTCCCTTATTGTAACTTAATCACCAATCACCAATAATAAATCACAAAAAAAAAAGAAAAAAACGCTATTGGGAAATCTGGATTTAGATTTTTAAAGCCAGATTTCGGATTTGCAATCGAACGCGAAATTCGAAAACGGATTTCAACGCTGATATATCTGTTTTTGGATTCTGATTTTTTGCCGTTCCATTGGGAAATTCGCAAAAGGATTTGAAAAACTGAACAACGGTCTTGTACGCGCACGCATAATTAGCAAAAATAAGACCGCTGTTCACGAGAACAGTTTTGCAAATCCTTTTTCGGATTTCCCAATCGAAAGGTAAAAAGGAAATCCATGAAATCCGGATTTGAATTTCTTAATTGAAATCTACCCTGAGGACGGATTTCTCGGAGATGAAATCTGTTTTCGGATTTCGCGTTCGATTGCAAAACTCCTAAATCCGGATTTCCCAATGGAACGCAAACTGAATAATGAAATAGTTAAGGAATAGTTACTTCCGGTCATGGCACTAGACGCTTCCGTAGTCTTTGCTTAAAGTCCCAAATATTTGAAGTAGAACGGAGGCGAATTTGGTGGGAAGATAAGCGAAATATATGGCAAAGAAAGGTAAGAAACAGTGTTTTGGTACCTCGAACATGGTTGCAGTATACGTTTTGAAATTGGTGTTCACTTAGATTTCTGCGTCCACTGAAAGCTTTTCAGTAATAACCCATGGAAACCCCAACGTACTTGATAAAAAGATGTTGCTTACCGCAACAAGTTTTCGCTTGAAATCAATAAGTTCCCGTTCTTTGTCAAGGTCACGGACTGTTTTCATGCTACTATTAGCTTCAACTGCAGTAGTGTTAAACGTTCGACAAAGTTGTTCACCAACCAGTACAAACCGCTTCATCTGCAGTACCTTAGGGACGTAAAAGAAAGAGAACCAATCATTAAAAAAAGATTAACTTACGTATTTTAAATGAAAGAAGGTGCATTTCTAAAATCCTCCCGAAAATCCTCTCATGTACCCTTCGTATAATATATTAAGCGTAGTTTAAATATCTTTTTATTTTTATATTTTATAGGTAATTCCAGTTATTTAATTATAAATTGCTGTGTCCCCAAATTAGTATGGAGTTGTTCCCAGTCTATACGGCTCTAACACATTAATAAAGTTTTCTATTCTATCTATTCCACCTCCAACTATACTACTCAGCATCTGAAGAATGGCGAGACGGTTATGTTATGCAGCTTAACCCCCATTAAGAGGCCAGAAATCAAAGTCCCGAGTAATTGTAGAAAAGCCTGAATGAGAAGTTTAACCTATATTAAGCGGCCACCTTTTGGCCTTCCCAACGAGGGTTCTCCCATTGTTGTCATCAAGCGCTTGATACCCTTAGTTTAGCCTTATTTCTGAAGGTGACGCCGACTGTGGACCAGTGATGCTTCTCCCGTCGTGCATTTGTTTCAAACCTCCATTAGTGGCCACTTGGCAGTACCCGTACGGTGGCTGCTTATCGCTTATCCAGTGGTCAAATTGCTGAATTGTCTTTACGTGTTCTGCCGTCAATTTACTGTGCAGGACTGGAGCGTCCCACTCGAAAGTAAAATATTAGCCTTATTGCGCGTGACCATCTTGTGTGCCATGGCTTGACTGTGTTGATGCTTTTTGTGATACCGTTAATTCGGCCGAAAATAAGCCCCTCCATGTATAAGCCCTCCTCCAAAACCCGTAACGCAAAAAAACCTCCGTTAAATCGCCCCTTCAAATATAAGCCCCCCCCGGGGCTTGTCCTTGGAAACTTGCCCTCAAATGCAAACTAAAACAAAGCAAAAACGGTAAATTGCCTTCCAACTATAAAGCTGCCCAATCGATTTTGAAACGCAAATTTCCCTCCTAAGATAAGCGCCTCCAAAAACTAGCCACTCCAAAAACAAGCCCCTCGAAAAGGGGCCTTTGAAAAATATAAGCCCTGGGGCTTATTTTCGGAATTTTACGGTACGATTTTAAGGTACTGGCAGTGTTCTTAGCGATGTTCGATTAAATGATGAAGTCGCTGTCAGCAAAGACGATTCGTTTTTCAGAACCGAAGTCCCAAGAAGAGATAGAAGCCAATAAAAAAAGAAAATTGATAACAAAAATTGCTCTGTAGTTAAATTAAGCTGAATATAGGTTGTGCTGATTTCGGAAAAGAGCTCAGTTGACTGGTAGATTATTTCTTTGGTGTAATTAAAAAAACTTATCGGAATAGTCTCGCCCCGCAATAGCAACGATTTTTAAAACTCGACTTCAAAATCTTTCCATATTGCTCGCGAACTATGTTCAAGTGTATATTAACAAAACATAACTGATACCTTGGGAATAAACACGAGGCAGAGTGTTATAGAGGTGCAAACAATAATGCATGTTGATACAATGGAGAATGAGGCGTCTGGCTTCTCCCTTACAGCAAGTGATAACGGGGCACCAATGGTGCACAGGACAAACACATTGTACACAGACATCCCAATGTATAACCTCATATGGAAGCGGTACCCGATCGTGTTACAATCTGCTGCTTCATGCAGTTTGCGGTAGCATGAAAGCAATTAAAATAATTCACCACTCTCATGACCGTTCCGGCGGCTACGTTTATATTGTGCAGTACTAGTATTAAAACACGGGTGATTTGCGCCAAGAATTAAACTGGAATCAAGTTTAATTTAACTATAACTCCTCTCAGCCTCGTCCTATTCCCAAGCTAGCAACTTTAACAAAGTAACGCGACCTGACAGGACAAGGCTGATTAAGCATGCGCAGTGTCCGCGCCGTTTCTTTCCCTTTTGATCAGTTCTTGATCTTCAGTAAGCTCGATGCTTGGAAACTGTTTCTCACGCTCTGCCTTGGACAAACGCATTCTCAATTCTCTGATTTCTTTGTCCTTCTACATAAAGAAAACGTAATGAATTTGCGTTAAAGTAAAACGGTACGTAGAAGAAGAAAAGCACAAATGACTTGAAAATAACTTGTAGTTACTTACAAAAATACTGCAAAAATGTTGGTTAACTCCTTGGTCCCCTTACCTATGGTTAAGTATCACCCTATCTATATCTAAAATCGCTGGTTCATGGGTTCTTAACGTAATATTCAGCAACGACCCCGGAAGTGTCTAGTATGGTGACCGGAAGTATTTTTTTCCCGCCACTTGTCAGTGCCTCACGATAGGGCAGTCTTGCAATCTTCTTCGCGATTATTCCAACTCACTTTCCTTACCCAATGTAGGCGAACTAGAAAGAGAAAAATTTTAGTCGTTGCTTGTTTACGCCCTCAACAAAACGTAGAGGTGCAGTGACCGCCAAAAAAGTACAAATATTGAGATGCAAGTGCAAAGTATTGCTAATAACTTCAACTATAACTTCAACTTTATTTAAATTTGAAAATGTAGCAAAAGATACATTGGGACTGGCCTGCAGTTAGCGAGGCTATTCGAGGCAGGCCAGGCTACATAATTTACAACAAACTAGACAAATACAAAGAAATTAGGCGTTATATAAGTATATACATTTTACATTAAATAGATACGTTCTACTTAAATGCAAGGACAATAATTAAAGTGAAATTTTAAAAATAGAAATAAAATGAAAATAAAGGACAAGAGAATTACTTTTTCATTTTCACGATGATCGTATCCACATCAATATAGGAGTCTTCAGTTTCAAGGAAATCGAGTAGCATTTCTTTTAGTGATCTTTTAAAAGCTTTTTTCGGTCTTTCTTTAAGAATTTGAGGTATCCCATTCCAAATTTTGACCCCAACACGCGAAAAAGCATTTCGTTTGACATTGAGTCGAGATTCTTTAGTATAAAAATGTTCAGAGGTTGAGGCACGTGTGTTGTAAGTATGAACACTAGAAATTCGAGAGAAGAGTTTCGAAATATTAACCGGAGCAGTGTTTTTATTTACATCATACATAAGACTACAAACGGATTCATAATATAGAGACTGTAAAGGTAGAATTTTTGCATTGACAAAAAAAGGTATTGCGTGGTCGTTTGTTTCAGCAAAATATATTAAACGCAGTGCGCGTTTTTGAAGGACAAGAATTTGGTCAAGGAAAGTTTTACACGCGTTGCCCCAAGAGATAAGACCATAAGTTAGATAAGGTGTAATAAGTGACTGATAAATATTTAAGAGGGTGCAAGTGGGAACAATATGTCTTAATCTCGCAATTAGCCCAATTGTTTTACTTATTTTATTTGCAACAGAGTGAATATGGGTCTTCCAAGATAGATTTTCATCAATTAACAGTCCAAGATATTTAATAAAGTTTTTGCGTTCAAGGGTAACCTTTTTATTGCTTTCATTGTCAAAAATATTGACCTGGGGATCATAGTTGAGTTTTTTTTGGTATGGACGAAAAATTACATAGTTTGACTTTTTAGTATTCAGGGAAAGTTTGTTTGAAGTCAGCCAGTTATACAAGTTGTGTAATTCTGCATTTACTGTTAGTTCCAGTGTCTTTAAATCTTTATAAGCATAAAGAGCATTAGTGTCATCAGCAAAAAGGAAAAATTGGAGTTTGCTCGAACAATATTGGATGTCATTTATATAAAGCAAGAAGAGAAGTGGACCTAGGACAGAACCTTGGGGTACGCCAAAATTGATATTTAGTTTACTAGATATATGAGAGCCGATTTCAGTGCTTTGTGTGCGATTTGATAAATAAGAGGAAAACCATTGATTGACAATTCCACGGAAGCCATAATAATTTAGTTTATCAAGTAAAATAGTATGATTCACAGTGTCAAAGGCTTTTTTTAAGTCAATAAAAACACCACATGAAAAGAGTCTTTTGTCCATATTGGTTTGTATAGTTTCTACAATATCAAGGATAGCATGTTGGGTTGAGTGAGCTTGACGAAAACGATATTGAGACGAATATAATAGGCTGTGCTTTTCAATAAAGTCTCTCATTCTGTCGTACATAATTTTTTCGAAGATTCTATTGAAATTTGATAATAATGAAATTGGCCTATAATTAGAAGTGTCGGTCTCGTCGTCAGCTTTGAAGATAGGTATAATTTTAGATATTAGGTAATTAGACCAACTCGGCTCTGCCCGTACTACGCTTCCCGAATACCTAGGAAATCGTGGCGGACCGTACTGTGACGAACTGGAAGTTCAATATCTTGAAATCTGAAAACTCGTACCCTTCGAAATCTTCAATTATTGACCTAGTGAAAAACATTTTTCTTAAAAATTGTTCATATCGCAATAATCTTGTTACTTAAGTTCTTCATCGATTGTAACTTGTGCTTTAAAATTATATAGGTGTAACTTCATTTTGTCTCTTGAGTTCTTTGTTAGCTGTAACTGCCTGTATCTCATTCAGGTTCGAACCCGGACCTTTCGTATCCTTATTTCTCTCCTTTAACACTACACTACCCGGCACCGACCCGCAAAGTACCATAAACTCACAAACTGTTTTTCTTAACTGATACGTCAATAACAGGTGACCCCAGCCCTTTGCATAAATTTTATCGTAAATTCGACTTGGGCTTCAACGTCTTTCTTTCGAAGACTATTCAAAAACGTATTATTTCCCTTATTGTATCTTAATCACCAATCACCAATAATAAATCACAAAAAAAAAAGAAAAAAACCCTATTGGGAAATCTGGATTTAGATTTTAAAAGCTGGATTTCGGATTTGCAATCGAACGCGAAATTCGAAAACGGATTTCAACGCTGATATATCTGTTTTTGGATTCTGATTTTTGCCGTTCCATTGGGAAATTCGCAAAAGGATTTGAAAAACTGAACAACGGTCTTGTACGCGCACGCATAATTAGCAAAAATAAGACCGCTGTTCACGAGAACAGTTTTGCAAATCCTTTTTCGGATTTCCCAATCGAACGGTAAAAAGGAAATCCATGAAATACGGATTTGAATTTCTTAATTGAAATCTACCCTGAGGACTGATTTCTCGGAGGTGAAATCTGTTTTCGGATTTCGCGTTCGATTGCAAAATCCTAAATCCGGATTTCAAAATCTAAATCCGGATTTCCCAATCGAACGCAACCTGAATAATGAAAGAGTTAAGGAATAGTTACTTCCGGTTATTGCACTAGACGCTTCCGTAGTCTTTGCTTAAAGTCCCAAATATTTGAAGTAGAACGGAGGCGAATTTGGTGGGAAGATAAGCGAAATATATAGCAAAGAAAGGTAAGAAACAGTGTTTTGGTACCTCGAACATGGTTGCAGTATACGTTTTGAAATTGGTGTTCACTTAAATTTCTGCGTCCACTGAAAGCTTTTCAGTAATAACCCATGGAAACCCCAACGTACTTGATAAAAAGATAGTGCTTACCGCAACAAGTTTTCGCTTGAAATCAATAAGTTCCCGTTCTTTGTCAAGGTCACGGACTGTTTTCATGCTACTATTAACTTCAACTGCAGTAGTGTTAAACGTTCGACAAAGTTGTTCACCAACCAGTACAAACCGCTTCATCTGCAGTACCTTAGGGACGTAAAAGAAAGAGAACCAATCGTCAAAAGAAGATTAACTTACGTATTTTAAATGAAAGAAGGTGCATTTCTAAAATCCTCCCGAAAATCCTCTCATGTACCCTTCGCATAATATATTAAGCCTAGTTTAAATATCTTTTTACTTTTATATTTTATAGGTAATTCCAGTTATTTAATTATAAATTATGTCCCCAAATTAGTATGGAGTTGTTCCCAGTCTATACGGCTCCAACACATTAATAAAGTTTTCTATTCTATCTATTCTGTCTCCAACTATACCACTCAGCATCTGAAGAATGGCAAGCCGGTTATGTTATGCAGCTTAACCCCCATTAAGAGGCCAGAAATCAAAGTGCCGAGACAATTGTAGAAAAACCTGAATGAGAAGTTTAACCTATATTAAGCGGCCACCTTTTGGCCTTCCCAACGAGAGTTCTCCCATTGTTGTCATCAAGCGCTTGATACCCTTAGTTTAGCCTCATTTCTGAAGGTGACGCCGACTGTGGACCAGTGATGCTTCTCCCGTCGCGCGTTTGTTTCAAACCTCCATTAGTGGCCACTTGGCAGTACCCGTAGGGTGGCCGCTTAATGCAGTTCAACTGATAAATTATCCAGTGGTCAAATTGCTGAATTGTGTTTACGTGTTCTGCCGTCAATTTACTGTGCAGGACTGGAGCGTCCCATTCGAAAGTAAGATATTAACCTTAATGTACGTGACCACCTTGTGTGCAATGGCTTGACTGTGTTGATGCTTTTTGTGATACCGTTCATTCGGCCGAAAAAAGCCCCTCCAAATATAAGCCCCCCCCAAACTCGTAACGCAAAAACCTTCCGTTAAATCGCCCCTCCAAATATAAGCCCCCCGGGGACTTGTTCTTGGAAACTTGCCCTCAAATGCAAAGTAAAACGAAGCAAAAACGGTAAATTTACTTCCAACTATAAGGCTAGCCCAATCGATTTTGAAACGGAAATTTCCCTCCTCTGATAAGCCCCTCCAAAAATAAGCCCCTCGAAAAGGGGTCTTTGAAAAATATAAGCCCTGGGGCTTATTTTCGGAATTTTACGGTATGATTTTAAGGTACTGGCAGTGTTCTTAGCGATGTTCGATTAAATGATGAAGTCGCTGTCAGCAGAGACGATTCGTTTTTCAGAACCGAAGTCCCAAGAAAAGATAGAAGCCAAGAGAATTGATAAATACGAAGAAGGTAACAAAATTTGCTCTTTAGTTAAATTAAGCTGAATATCGGTTGTGCTGATTTTGGAAAAGACCTCAGTTGATTGGTGGATTATTTCTTTGGTGTAATGAAAAAAACTTATCGGAAGAGTCTCGCCCCGCAATAGCAACGATTTTTAAAACTCGACTTCAATATCTTTCCATATTGCTCTCGCACTGTGTTCAAGTGTATATTAACAAAACGTAACTGATACCTTGGGAATAAACACGAGGCAGAGTGTTGTAGAGGTGCAAACAATAATGCATGTTGATACAATGGAGAATGAGGCGTCTGGCTTCTCCCTTACAGCAAGTGATAACGGGGCACCAATGGTGCACAGGACAAACACATTGTACACAGACATCCCAATGTATCTGTAATTAATTCAACATATTAGAATTGTAAAATCCGAAAAGCTTATGAACAGTCTGCAGTATTTACATTACGTCTAGGGAGAGCCTAGGTCTGTGCGCTTGATCACGAACGCTTCATACAAATATTTCGGAAACACTGGAAAAAGAAGTGACACGCGGATCGACTTGTGCAACTCAGGGCTCTGCAATTTTGGGATATCTCTCTGAGTTCCCTATCATGATGGAATTACGACTTATTAACTCGTATATATGAATGAATCGCTTCTCAAAGCAAAGATATCTATTGTAACAGATACTATGGTAACACATACTTGGAATCATTTAAAGCGGGTATTGTCACGCTTCTGGTTTCCCAAGCAAGGAACGCTCCAAAAAGTAAAAGCAGTCCTTTGTAACCACACAGTATTCCTAGCCAGCGGTATGTTTGTCTGGACTCGCATAGTTCCAGTTGCTTGACAAATGCAACGTCCAACTCGGACTCTTGGGACTGAAGACACAAATCATGTGACAATCACATCATTTACTGCATAAAGAAGTGACTTCCAGGCCTCTTAGGATTGAGTATGCTGCTTACGGTTGGTTATAAATTTGCCGAGCTGCAAACCATGCTCAATCCTTTGTTCAGTGGAACCCCGATATAACAAAGTGCCGCAGACTGGAAATATTGCATTTTCGTTATAACGGAAGGTACTGTCTATCGAAGTCCTGCTCCGTCAGATTTACAATAACTTAGGAGAAGAAAGTCATCTGTAATGCAGATTTTTCGTCAACCAGAGGTTTTTCATTAAGGGGCTTGTTATAATGTTTAGATTTTAAAGATCACGCACTTTATATACCATATATAGTCAAAGGGATGAGGATACCGAATGAACTATAAGGCTTACCCCATCTGAAAACTCGCGAATAATCCTCTTCATGGGATCCGTGACTTGCCATACGGTCAAATATATGATGTCAATTATTACTAGAAGCAAGACCACACCGAACAAATGACGGTCTTTGATAACCTAAAGAAATCGCAAGTTGTCAAATGTAAAATTGTTATCCACACTATAAAATTAGAGGTAAGAAAGTACACGTAGCCCATTCTAGAGGAGTGTGGGTCAAATATACGTCATGAGAGCAAGGGCGTGCTTTGTTAACGGGAGCGAAATGAACTGTGTTTCGTCTTTCTTTGATTTTCTGTGAGTTTTTTTCGTTCGGTTCTTCCGACGCAAATATTGGTGCAGACGAAAGGAGTGATGTTTAAACATTTGTTGTCTTCCTTGCTTTCAATGTTGTTGAAACTTGGAGACAATATAAATTGATGATAAATCTCGGGATTGCCAATTTTTTAAAAAAATCATCGAGCGGTTTTCTAAATAACCGTGAAATTTATAGCCGTGGACTAAATTGTATACATAAACGGTAACAAAAGCAGCTGAATGAGTGTAGGCCAATCAAATTCTTCCTTCTCGAAATCGGCATAAGCAAATATCACCCTCTATTTTCTTCCACAATTTCAGGTGGAATCAAACCATTAAGAGATTAAATTAATTCTCCAGACCTACTCATTTTCTTTAGATATTAGCAAATAATTTCGATAGCATGGTTATCAAAATATTTCCAAAACGCTCTCCTAGAAATACAAAGGCAAGTACAAAACGTTATAACATCACTTATGTTGCCAGCCACCTTAAAAATGTCGTCTCTATTGTATTTAGAACAGATCTTAAGAACAATTTGCATTAATGACTGTAGATGGTTCTTTAGGTCTACCTTCCGTTTTAACCGTTTGTTGGTAAATATTTGATGAACCCGCCAGGTTTTGGAGAACATCGCACCGTACGCCAGACTGAAGCCCAGAGAGAGTGTCCAGGCTCTGCTCTGAAATTCAAACCAGAATTTTGAAGTTTAACACGACATGCCTGAAAAAGGCGTCAGGGTATCCGGCCCTTAATCATTCTTCTTCATTCATTCATTCTTCTTTAATATAACCCTTCCAAGCCATTCCTTTTATCTCACTGAGATAATTGGAAAGAAAGGTTTTTAACATGACTAAGCTAATTTCACTCTTACAGGCTTTTTTACTCTCTCCTCCCACCTAGATTAATATGATGGACCCCCCCCTGCTTTACAAGTTCACAAAAACCCTTAAGGTGATTCCTTTATTTAAAAAAAGCGCATTGAACTATGACGAACCTTCTGTCACTGGCTACAAAACTTTGAGAAAAGGTGGAGTTATATGTCATTCGGCTTTTCAAAGAAAATCGCGTCTTGCGCATAATTTCGCTGATATTTTCTACTGAAACTTGTGTTCTGAGCTTAAGCTGATATAATAATATGCCAAATAAATTTCAGAGAAATCGTTGGAGAAGAAAGAACGTACTCGAACTAGACAGTCATTCAGAATTCAAGTGTTTTAATAGTTTTTGGAATTTCGAACCACCTTAAAACAACGTTGAGTGCTAATGACCAAGATTATCCCAGAAATCAGAGAGTGATTGCCACTTACCGCACATATGACCTCATAACCACTGGAAAGAAATGCTCCATCCAAACCAAAGAGAAAAACAGATAAATAACTGAGAAAACACCCCAGTAGAACTGAGTTGTTCAGATTAGGACTGGACATCTTGATAAACCTTTCAATAAAGAAAGAATCCTAGTTACTCAATGACCCAGCGTTTGAATACATGATCTGTTCCTTGTGCGTTGTTTCTTTATTTTGCCGGCCAAGAACAACGGTTCAGTTACCTTAGACTTACTGCGTTTTAAATGATCGGTTGAAAGTAACCAGCCTAATTTCAGAAATATCAGAATCTAAAAAAATTTCAGTTAACAACCTTCCTGGGTCTTTTGGCTAGAAGAAACAAAAAGTATAACTTACAGTAAAGGTTACTGAGTATCAGATATTGTGATGTTTAATCGCAAGGGTAGTTTTTTTTGCACGTGCCAGTTTGTCAGTCCGATTTTGCAAAGACAGAATTTCCTAAACACAAAAATCGGCTGAATTTACCTTTCGGGTAGAATCCCGAAATTTTCTTTCAGAAGAAAAGATTGACCTATAAACATAAACTTCGAAATGGACGCAGCGAAGTAGTTTCGTGAATGAGAACCAGCCTTTACAAAGCATTAAATTTCATGGGCTGTTTAGCTTCTCAAAGGGACGTGGGTGGTGGTGGGCAGGGGGAGGTAATGGGCTCGTGAATCTGATACAGACGTAAAACAGAATGGAATAGAATAGATAACTTATGGGTAAGAATTCTTGTCCAAGACTATTGCTGTCACGAAGTGATGTATAACTTTGGCTTTTTGTTTTAAAATCAGTTAAGTATAAATTTCTGGATTTCTTTGTACAGGTTGAAGCTTATTCGTTTTAATGACGGAGCTACGTTACATCAAAATTTTTTGCCATACACTTTATTAACTGTGGCGAGGAATGTCATTCATTGCACAAACGGCTCCTGACAAGGGTCACTTTTGTTAGTTTAGGTTTCGTTAAACATTACCTCGTGGCATAGTTTTGAACTGCATCTATACGGAACCTCCTCCCACCCCCAAAGCTACTGTACTAACGGGATGCTCTCCGTTACCTCAGGTGAAGATTGTTTGGAAGATGGATTGAGTTAGATGGTCAGTCGAGTTATAAATACCTTATATTTCTTTTAGATATGTTGAACCACAGGAATAAAATGGATACTAGTATCGCAATTGACGTCACAACCGCCATGAATATGAAGAGTGATAGGGATACCGTCATCAGTTCATACATCAGCTTAGTCGTGTCCGGGGGAGGAGATCCATCTATTGGAATGTAACATTTATCAGTTACCCCAAGTAATAATAACTTCAAACAATTATATTTCCAAGGCCTTCTTGATTCTGTGCAAAAGAGAGAAATTTAGGGAGCAACGATAATTACACTGCTCTCTAATTGAGTGATCACGCGCATTTCTGCGAGGAAAAAAAGAGTTTGGACATAAGCTCTTGAAGAAAACCACACTCGAGTGGAAGATTGGCGATTGCTTTCTCTCTTATGAAATTTATTTTAATTTGTCCGGCGCTGTTTCTAGCTCTAACCCTTACTCCACGTCTTTTCTCTCTGCAAAAAGTCTCGGAGTCGTGGAAGTTAATTTATCTGTGTTAAGTCACCTTTCAACTTCAAGCTGCAAAAATGGCTCTGTCACTGATGACGTGGTTATTCTTTTGCACTGATGAGGCCGGTCAGCTGAGCAGCTGAGGCTAGTAAGTCATACTGAGAAAATAGGCAGTCCTTACCTTCCCACTTTATAGCATCGTATCCTGACCAGTTAATCAAACCATTATTTACTTCATAAAGCCCTACTGTGATTTGCTTTCCGTCTGTAAGTAAAAAAAAGAAAGAGTTTCGCGGCTGGCCATGAATTGGAATCAAGCGAAAGAGGGATGTGTCGCCGAACTTTCTATTCACAGGGTGGTTTACGTATGAAGGCTTAATAGAGAATAACAAGTGAGCTGATATACTAGATACTATACTTAGGTGCGCCCTGATTGGTTAACTTTTAAATATAGCTTTAGCCGTTTAATTGCTTTCTGTTTGCTTGTTTTTTTTTCTTATCAACCTGTATAGAAAGGAAAGTAAATATTTGGGTTAGTACTCTTTTGATTCATTTACTTATCATGCTCAGACTTGTGTGGCAAATACTGAAACATGATTATTTCGCTGTTGTGGTTGCTGAACCACTGAATACAACTAACTGAAGGAGTTGAACCTATAAATGGTCAAGGTAATAACCTAGAGCCATGGTTACAAGTATGCGACTTGTAGTCAGACAGAGAGTTCAGTTTAGCACTGTCGATAACTACGAGAACGAGACCTTCTCTTGCCTGTGTCCGCTCATACAGTAAAAATAAACTTTGAGAATAATCCCTGATATAGTGCATGAGTCAGGGGAAAATAAGGGGGTAAATGCTGGCGTGTGTGACTAGGCTGCGCTTTTTAAGGGGCAATTTGGCCTTGGTATCACCGAATTAACTGAAACATCAAAATAACTGCCTCCGTCCGAGACGAACGCCGAAAAATAGAGAAATGCCAAAGGCATGCAACGGAACCCGGCCGGATGGGCAAAACGGAAGAAGATTAAAAGAACGATTTGGGGTTTGCGCTAAAAACGTCAGCTTCTTTATCTCCCTACGGTGGCCAACCAACTCAGCTGTTAAACTGACCAATCTTTGTATTTTACTGCCCCACAGAAACACCACAATTCTAAACAAACTATCCTTCATTCGTTTTGAGATTAAAATTCGATAAAGACAAAACAGCAGCTTGCTTTTTTACTTCGAATTATCAATATTTATTACAGTGCATGCAGTGTGGCGATAAATTTGTCAGTAAAACTTAGGGATATATTTCACCAATCTATGCTGTAAACAAGACGCTACGGAGCGTACACTTCGGCGTCGTGGTTGTGGAACTGATTAATTGTAAATGCAGAGGAATAGTAAGAAATGATATATGGTGAGAGTAAGGCGTCAATTTGTGAAATTATGGGATTTGTTAGGATATTCTGAAAAGGGCAACGTCCAAGAGGCCTACTTGCTAAAAACTAGCATTTCGGGGCAAATTGTCTCTGAGAAATTAGCCGAGCTTTGCTCTGATGACTCCCACCAAAAAAATCCTTCCACATTTGACTTGGGTCTAAACGTTTAGACCCAAGTCAAATATGAGGTTACTGGCGGTGAGTAACAAGTCTAAAGAAACAATTAGTGAAAAAAGAATTCTCTATTTTTTCTACATCAGGCCCCAAAAACAGCACAACAGTCTCATCACTTGTCTGATCACGCGCATGTCTACGAAATTTCTTGTCTCTGCGCAGCCACGTAATATCTTCTGTTTATTCCTCGAGTAAATAAAAGACTAAAATCGAAGTGATCTCAAGATATCTCGAAGTAATTCCGGTCTCATTTTGTGAAATTGCCGAAACAAGCCGAAAAGTCACGAACTTGCGCGCTCAATCTTATCCCGAAACTAGTGCATAATTTTATATAGCCTTTTTCAATATCCCAAACTACCTTGGGTCGCAATGGCACAATCGGCTAATCCCTCAACTTAGAGTCTCCTCTGATCTGACGGGGTCACCCAGGTGAGTCGGTTCAACCCCGGGTAAACCAAAATAATAATTTTTTCTTTGTCGAATAAGTTAAAGAATAAATCAAAGAAATAGAAGTGATCTTGAGATATCTCGAACGAATTCGGCTCTCACTTCGTCAAACAGTTGAATAAAACCAAAAACTTACAGACTTTGCCCGCCCAATCTTGTCCCCTAAGAAGCTACTTTGGGACATTCCTGTATGAGCGTCGCGAATCCTTTACTTAGCGCTCCGCCGAAGTAATAAAGCTTACTGTAACAAAAACTAAGCAACGTCAATGTAAGGATTGTAGTCCGAGTGCAGCGATTCTGCTTGGCTAGTTTTGTATGATATCTACCTCTCATTTGAACAATCCTAGTGTCTCCCACTCTGTTGCCTTGGCTTGTGAATCCAACAGGGCCCTGCAGCGAAAAGAAAAAGTCATTCCAAGAGACAAGACTACTTTGGTTATAGCCTTTCAAAGAAGACAGAAAAAAGTTTTATTTACTTACGGTAACTCCATAAAAGTTTGTTTCTTTCAAGGCATCCGTAAGTGTGTTGGTAAAGGCCTTATCTCCATATGGCACCTTATCTAACCTCGTACCAGGGGCCAAACCAGGGATGGTCCTATTCAAAGCCAAGGCCATAGCCCAAACTGCGTCATACGTGAAACCTCGATGAAGATCCGTTAATTCTGGTGGCACTAGGGTTTCGTACTCAACTAGAAAATCTTTCACCGTCTAGATAGAAGATAATATTCCTAAAGTTGTAAGAAGTCTTAAGCGAATTTTGAAATGTTCAGTTTAACTCTAGTCCTCAGAACACTACTGAGTCAGGAAATTAAAATTAATACTAGAGGAAGGAGAGTTGAAATGTAGAAGAGCGAATGCGAAAGTAACTGTTACACGAGCGTAGGCCGCGAGACACAGTTATCTCTCTTTCGGCGCGCAGCGCATAAATCTCGAATTCACATATTTCTCTCGGGCTTCAAGTAACCCTCTTCAGTTTCCTTATCACCCACAGCAACGCTGGTTAACGGACAGATCGAACAAATGCTTGACTGTGGACAAATTCAGTCCTTACTGAAAAGTAACCAGTTCACTAATCTGAAAACAATTTTAAGCATTTACAGTATTCCGAAAGTTTGATGCAATTCTGTTGTTCAGTCATTTGTTAATGTTCAGACATTTTGGTCTGCTACTAAAAGCATTTGATCAGGACGTGCACTGGTTTTAGGCCGCCTTACCTTCCCATAAACTGTTTTTGTGTCTGGTGCAGTTGTCCAAAGGTAATCTGTTGCTAAGTGACCATCCATGGCCTGAAGGATTTCAGCAGATGAACATGATATAGTCGGGTCTTTGACTAGCCACCAGTCTCTTTCCATATAACCAAGCAATATCCAAACATACTTAGCACCAAACATGCCGAGTTTGTAAGCCTTTAGAGTGGAGACAAAACAATTTCAAATGCCAAAAACTGTTGTCACTACAAAATAAATTGTCACTGAAATACCCTTTAAGGAGATAACAATCAGTAAAGATTTGTATTGTATTTAAAGTTTGGCAACAATGAACCCAACGTCTGTTGTTGAAGATTCAAGTAATAAAATTATCTCCTAAAAGGCGATTATTAGCTCTTGAAATAATTATTATTAGCTCACCTCGCAAAATACTTTTCGGCCGCCTCTACCAAAAAAGTTTGCTATAATGATTCTTGTACCTTTTTTCTGTAAAAATATCATGGTATCAGTCACACCCGGAATCATTTAACTTACGTTATCACTCAGTTGTGTGCCCAATATTCATTTAACTACAACTAAATGGATCAGTGCACAAAGACGAGTAACATGTTCTACGCATCTAGGCAGTTATATGATACTTTTATGATACCAAGAGGGTCATGAGTTCAGGCTAAATTAATTCGTATGATTAGGAGTGGATAAATTCAGCATTAGAATCCGAGGATATTCCAGGGAAGAAGCAGTTTAAAACAGAATTACGGGTGATTATCTTGAGACGCAGGCTTACCAAGGAAGAAAAAATTATGCTTGTGCCGGCTATTTGTTAAGCAGAGTCATTAGCAATGTCCTAATACCAAGTTTTTCATTTGTGTAAGCCTAGTAAATACCATTCGTATTGTTACCTTCATATTTTCCATCTGAACACGTGCATTGTCCCTAAAACTCTCAGAAGAAATGTGTTTGATTCCGTTTTTCAAAAAGAGCACATGAAGATCAGACATTGCCTGGAAAATGAACAGAACAATAGCGAATAAAAGAAAAAAAGTCCTGGAAATTTCTAGTAATAGTCTTAATTATTTTGTAACCCAATTTTTAGTTTGAATCTTTTATGCTGATCTTGATTTCTTGACAAAATTTTAACACAACGTTTTACGAAAAACCGGACATTGGATACTTTTCTCTTCAAAGTTTTCATTTTTGAATTTCCTTTGGTATTCGTTCGGTTTGCCAACATTGCGGAGAACATTTTGGTGTGCGGAACAAGCTACCAAAACTATCCACATGGTTTTCTTATAGATGAGTAATGCTAGGACCATCTCAGAGCCGTAGGGTTTATTTTAACATGATTCCTACACCTATTTATACAATTGGCAAAGGGCATGATATCTATAGAGAAACAATGCGGAGCCAACACTTTTGTGTAAAGAAGTACTCACAACTGTAAGCATCCTCGGAGACCCAGGGGCAGATAGTGGGGGCCAGGGAAAGTCTAAACGGGCGGAAAAATAAGGCACGAAGAAAAGTAAAGAACGGCGAGAAGAGCCCCTGGGGACAATGTCTTACCAGACCAGTTCCAAACGGTCGCCGCCGTCCTGGCTTCTGATTGGTTGTTTTTCTGGCACCAATCAGAAGCCAGGACGGCGGCGACCGTTTGGAACTGGTCTGGTAAGACATTGTCCCCAGGGGCTCTCCTCGCCGTTCTTTACTTTTCTTCGTGCCTTATTTTTCCGCCCGTTTAGACTTTCCCTCGTCCCCACTATCTGCCCCTGGGTCTCCGAGGATGAACTGTAAGCTAACGTCCTAACGATGTGCGTGAAACAAATGTCGTACCTACTAAAACACTAAAACACCACTCCTCGACAACGCGCTTCACAACGCAAAAATCTTTTATATCAACAGGTGGTTGAATCGAAGTATATGGTTTCGTAGATTTCAATAAGGAATCTTTCTTGTGAAATGTATTATTAACCTGTGTAAGGTCTGGTCATTTTTAACTCCAAAATATGATGCTTACCGTGCGATGTATGTCCTCTTCCTGAAAAATGGTGCCAACGTGAGTCCATTTGAATTTTTTCAGCAGCGCTATTCGAGGAACGTTGAATGATGTATCATCTGGGATTGTGCGATAAAAGTGTGGATAGTTTTTCTTGTCTGATAGCTCGGGAGAGCTACTGGAAAACGAAATCTGTAGAGATGACATTTCACAATGGTAGGTGAAAACAGTTGTAAAACTTTGCACATGGACAATGTGCAAAGTTGTCATATTTCATTGATATTCTATTTAGAGAACCCGCCTAGCTAGAGAACCCCAAAACCTAGTGGCGCCAGGACTCAGCGCTCCAGCCTAGGAGGTCTATACAATTCTCTTACCTGCGGTATAGCCCAGGGATCCAGTCCAGCAAGAGCCGCAACAACTCTGCTGCATGAAGAAAACCCCGCTCCAAGAAGCATAATCTTACGGGAGGAGTTATAAAGGAACTCAAACATGATGTGCTCCGTCCAACCAGGGGAACCCTTCAAGTAGAAAATCGCACAAAATTAGTCTTTCTTTACCCAAAGATTGTGTCGATATCCCTTAAAAGTATGGGGAAATGAGGAAGGTAAGGACATATTACGGTTACGTTACCCTTGTGTCATTCCAAATCAGTGTCAGATTATAGTCGTTCAGCACGCCAGCGGTGTTCACGTGATCAAAAGCCATTTGTGCAGCTGGTAAAATACCTGTGCCTCCGGTCCAACTATCATTATGTAGTGACGTCATAGGAAACATGGCACCAACGTATAAAGGAGTCTTTGCTGATATAGTTGGGAAACTAATTGAGGTAACGTACGTCACGAACAAAAGAGATGGTAAACGCATTATTTTAACCTGCCAACATAATTAAATGTTTAGTTAGTAAAACTTGCTGGTAATTTATACAGGGCTACTCGTATACATGACATTCTTTTTTTCAACAAATTTCGTAAGGTTGGAGGAAAAAGCAATGACGTACTTTTGAATTTCTGAGGGGAGATAATAACAATATAGATGTCCAATGTTTTATCAGGTTTTACATGTGCGATTCTCATGATTTGTATACTTCACAGTCTGTAACGTTTGTTATGTATTTTAACGGGCGAAGTAAAGACATTTTATCTATTTATTTCCTAATTAATGGTTGCAGAGTGTTCGTTGGACACCGATTGAGATCGACTTGATGCATATGACTTTAAGAAATTACAAATATCAATAAATCAAGGGGAAAAGACGTGACTCATACCCCTGATTTCTTAAACTTCCAGATAACTCGAACCAAATTCTTTTAAGTGAACGTAAAACTGTGAACTCTTCTTAACTGCGTGGTGAACAGCGAAAACTGATGCTTCATGATTGCTGAGCTCCCCCCCCCGCCCTTCCCCCACTAGCTCGCCGCCAAATATGAATTTTAATACATCAAATTTCGTCTAATTCCCACATGCACGAGTATGAATAGATGTTGCATTTGATGGCTTTAAAAGAACCTCGTCGTTTATGTTTGCTTTAGTGAAGTTCTGGTCAAGTCTGCCTAGCAGACGTACGCGTAAGTCAACAACCCCAGGTGAATTTCGTGCCGACCGCGCGCGGGCTATGTATTATTAGTCTTTCGTCTTAATTACATTAAAGATCAGTACGTTTGCCAAGGAAAGTTCTGTAGTAAATAAAGCCCTTGTATGCTATCTCGTAAGGCAAGTTGCTTGTGGAACTTGTCAAATTAAGTTTCGATTATTTCCATAGTGTATAGCACCCCAACATTACATAATGATGGAAAAAAAAAAAAGGAAAAGAAACAAAAAATTAAAGAAAACGAAAAGCCTCTGATAAGTCTTCTACTTTTCTAGTATGTTTAAATAGGTCATTTAAGTATTTGGCCGGAAACATTTATTAAGAAATTGTTTTAAACAAAGTAGCCTAGCGCCGATACGAAATAATTACCAAAAGGTCCCAGCCATTTCTTGTATATGTTAAAGAAGAAGAAGCCAAGAATCTCGAACTGAAACTGAATTACAGTTTAAAAGAAAAACCGGCCTTTAATTTGATCAATTTCTTGAATTATTCCACTGAAAGTGTGGTTACCATAACGTTGCCTTATAATGACGTTTTTCTCAATAGAAGCCAACGAGGTAGGTTTTTTCTTGGTAATTAGCGCTCTTCGAGACTAAGGCTATATTCACACAATACTGAACAGCTAAGTCGGCACGAAACCATATCCGGTATAGTACGAACACCTATCCAATATCATGACTCTCCACTTTGGAGATCGGCGCGGCGCTGCTTCGCTTCGTCACAGAAATTGCGCCGCCACAACCGTTCTTATGTGTCAGAATCTGGTATAGTTTTCGTGGCGGTCCAGAAGCTATCCGGTAGTGTGAAGATAGGTTATTAACTTTAGCCTATCGTTTCTTCTGCTCATCAACCTAAAAGAAATTGTTCATCCTTAGAGGGTTTTTCTTCCGTTTAATATAGTGCACGCTCCATTTTCAATGTTTTAGTTTTTAACAAAGCCAGCTTCAAATCCTTGTGTATTTTTTGTTCACAAAATGTTCCCCTCATGGAAAGTTTTGTTGTCTAACATCAAACCCTCATATTAGTCTGCTGTTCTTGTTTTAAATAAATTTGGCACGTTCAAAACTTTTTAAATCAAGGTTCTTATACTTACTTTCCATGTGCAAGTTAATGTTGGCTAGGTGACTTGGACTATATATTAGACTGTTCGCATATTGCTTAAAACAGCTCGGTCAACTATGAGATCTTGTAAAAAGAAAAATAGGTCGAATAGCGTCAAAAGGCCATCGACACAATGACGTCTTTTCAGATGAGCATTAATTATTAACACAATCAAGAATTTTGGGGTATTGTGCAATTCTGTTAGTATTTTGTTTGACGTAAACTCGTTTGCTTTATCTCTCGTTGAAAGCTTTGTATGAACTTAATATTAGAAAAACCGAGCATGATCAGCTGTCACAAATAATTCATAAGAATGAAGAATTTCAACCACAAAGCAATAAAAATGAAAATAAGAAACTATGGATTGAGAGGCAGGCATTTCAGTTACTATTTATATAGGCATACTGAATTTCTGTTTATTAATCAATCTTTGTTTTAAATGACCGTACTGCACAATGACTCAGTTTTGTCACTAGTTAGTATAAACAAACTTCGTTAAGTATCTCAGATGGCCTATATCGATGGGATTGCTTTATTACTTTTTTGGATACAAAAATATCAGCGAATGCACCGCGCGCGTCGCATCTTTTCCTTCAGTGAGTTAAGTTCACTGTCGCCCTCATCATAAATAACGTGGCAGTTTAAAATGTATTGTAGTTATAAAGTAAGTTAAAAGTAATTCTTTAAACTACTAAACTGTTGATACACATAGCGGTATAAAACACTATGCATTTGAACAATACAGGTTAAAGAAAAGGCAGTCTGTAAAACACTGTGTACTGGAGTGTATCTAACCAGTGCTAATAATTTTAGCCTGCATTTCACATCAACAAAATTAAAACCTGCCTTCGTGTATATTAAGTTTTTTTGAACAATACTTCTATTTTGTTTTCGATTTCGTTGCAAGTCATATGTCAGTCAAGGAAGTTCATGGTCGAAGACATAGTCCTTAGAGTTTTTAAGGTTTTCCTCGTCTGGATACAGCTAGAGACCCTGATGCTGAAACAAAATACGACCCCAGTCTTAACTCATTTGAAACAAATATTCAATAACCCTTAAATCTAAGAAAGGCCTGAAAATTCAATTAAGTTTTGCTTTACATATGTCTGAGCTTAAAAGTAAAACTCATTTCCGCTTAGAAAGCTTAGATGCTCATTACTTTAATAGCTCATCGAAAACTCAATCAAACCAAAACTATGAATGTCTAGCGTCAAAACGCCTCGCCTCTTTGTTTTCAATATTTGAGGCTGCAAAATAAAACTACATTGAAGATGAAGTTAAAAAAAATTTACAGAGTTGAGTGATATAACGGTGACACTGACAAGCAATATAACATTTTTTCTGGGCGTAGCTATATGTAGACCTTCTACTGTCTCCACACACTTCCCAAAATCAAAATTAAGCGACTGGTTCAGACTGAAGTTAACCGGCTATCCTGCAATTATACAAAATTCAATAAAAATGCAAAATTTCACTTTGTAACCTCCAAACACGTACATAAATCTCCATGAAAAAGAAATACTATAGGGCCACCCTAAGTTCATTCCACAACTCAAAAGTTATGTGTGTAAGACTAAATATCGACATAATTCACCCCATAGCAGCAGCAATCATTACATTTCATCCAGTAATGTTCAGTGTCCGCCTTCAGTTCAGTAATCATATCTAACCTGGTAATCAGTCAAAAGCGAAGCAAGCGAGTCTGAAAAGACTGAAATGAAAGGAATGTAGCAATAAGAAAGTATTAGTTTTATGGTTCTGCCATTCACCAAAAATGCTTTTCTAATTGAATTGTCAGAATGTGAAATAAAGCTGACTATCAACTTGACAAACAGTCGATTGAATGTGAACTAGTATAAAAGGACACTACATGAGCAAATCTTTGAAATTTTAACACTTAACGGACCTAGAAACCTGTAAGCTAAGCCGGGTTATCCAGTAAGTAAGGAGGCCTAGTAATGGTTGTCTTCTTTCACGCTTTTCTGATATGAACAAAACCATACATATCGTTAAACTTGCTTTATGTCAGACATTTAAATTGACATTTTCTTGCTGCAAATCATTATTTTATGACAAAAATGTAAGACAGTGTCTTTCCTGTATAGCTTTTTTTGCTACGGGTGTTGGTCCTACCTAATATTTTTCCTGACCGACAGAGAACTGACCGTTTAACACACAGTAAAGAATATATGAATAAGGAGGTAAGTTGATTTATAGTATTATAAAACTTTTCTTATGTCGCAAAAAGCAGTAATACTGTACATACCTGTGTATTTAAAGAATAGTTTGAAGCCAAGAAACCGATGTAAGAAGACAGTCCGTTATGACGCAGCCTGACTCCGATTAATTTCCGCTATACGTCAATCTATTTTGTAGTCTTTGATCTCCGATAGTCACCACGTGTTTTGAATTCTTAACTGCATCAAAATCAAAATGAAATTTCATTAAAACAATACTGTTTTAATTGGGCCTTTCAACGGCGTTAGTCGAATTAGCTCATGTTCGAAACTTTGTCCAAATAGCCTCATTTATCGTTGATTCTTTTGGGAGAAAACTGTAATTTGTATCGTCTGGTTAAGGATTACAGTTTTTGTAGTTTGTTGCACTTAACTTTGATTTCAGTTTCAAAAATATTTTTTTCTTACTCTCGGTTGAACACCAATAAGAGATGATGCAAAATGATGATGAAAAATTATAGTCATAGGGTAAACTATTAGTTCCAGCAACTACGCCGGAGACTTCGAGGCAGTCCTACGTTACTGATATCAGGGTACTTAATTTCTGACCTTTCTGGGTCATAAATACACACCTGAAACAATACTGATGAAATGAAAGCTAAATGTTTCATTGTATCTATTGCAGTCTAACTGCAGTAAGAAAATATTTAGGTTTTATAGTCTCTGTTTAGACGTACACGTAGCCTTTTAGATTGTCAGCAGTTTCTTTTCCTTCGACACGAAAAGAAGTTAAGAAGCGAAGATACAAGTAGATCCTCTTTAGAGGCAAGAGTGGGAACTGATACGTGAGTTTTTACTCTATCTTACCTTTGTCATTCGTTATAGTTTTAATATCATAGTTATTTCGTTTACTTTCGTTTTGTTGAACGCAAAATAGATTTATTGTTTTCTCTATAGTTTCTGTAGTCCTAAGTGTAGATAACTAAAGGTTTTTTTCATATCACTAGTCTTAGGCATTTGAGTCAGCTCAAACCAGTCGTGACATTAGAAATTTGTTTCAAGTTCGTTGTCAAGTGTGTACAGTACTTTGCACACAGTCGCATACAAAACTGTCACGTGTGTTTAGATGCTCGTAACTATAATTGTTTCTTATTCTTTATATTTTAATCAATTTTCAGTTTTCATTTTATTGCAATTGGTCAAAAGGAATAAAAGCATACACCAGCTACCAGCGTGCGTTATTTCGTCAGCCCGTAAAATAGTCCCATTAAGAGTGATTTTCTGTAAAATTCGAACTTCGGCCTGACACGGTACCTCATCGATTTGACTGATTTTCGGCATGTAGTCTTAGAATGGTGTCCTAAATACTGAATGCATATTCTAAGGTTCGAATTCTCTTTGGTTTCAAAGATACAGGAATGACAGTTTTGACGAGGGCCGCCATGTTGGTGAACTGAAGGAGATTTACAAAGTAATTACTCTAGCCTTATCATTCAAATAACTTAATCGTGTCTCATGCATACAGTTGCAAAGAACTATCCTTCCTCCCTTCATTTACCTACTCTTATCTGAAAGTAGTTAAGCCTGAGCTACGAACGGCTATAACTTCTCACAGCACTTTTTCGGTACTTAACAGGTACACAAATTTGGTTGAAATTGGAAGGTCAATATCACCCATGCCACATCGATTTAGACTAAGCCATTTTAACGAAACATAGCTTGTTTATAGATAAATTAGACTGTTGAATAAAATAATTGGGCAAATGCAACGGAGCAGAAATAGAATTGCATGAATGCGCAATGGTTCAGCCACTTGGCCGCTAAAACTTCCAAACAAAATTCGGTGAATATTTGAAAAGAAAATTCTTTAAAAATTGATCGTGCCTCTTAAAGCCTATCTATCGCTTAAAAAACTCTCCCTTGAAATGTAAAAAGATGATCTTTTGATTCTGATCTTGCGAAAAGCTTGAAATATGCGCTAAAATGAAAATTATAAATATGGTTACACACGGTACTAGCACTCAAGTTCGCTCTTCGATTTGCCACACCAATCGGGAGCCGCTCGTGTGCACAGTTATAATTTTCTTCTGTAGTATTTCGCTGTATACAGCTACAAATTACATTTTTCTTAGGCAAAGATAACGCAAACGTTGTCAATTTTTATCAAAAGGCTAGAAAAACAAACCGTGCACTGCAGCTTTATGTAAATTGTATGGTATTCGATATTACATGCGTAAACAGGAACCTACCTTTGCTTCTATGTACATTGGGCAGATCTTTCCAGCGTAAGATATAAAACTAGTACATAAAATGAAAATAAAGAACTCATCAAGTCAAATTACCAGATCGTACCGTCATTACTGAATAATAAGTCCGAAAAATATGCAGTGGAATGATCGGTGGGGGACGAAGCTATTTTTAGGAGGACGAACTGCACGCTGGAACGGAATTGAAATGAACAACCTTAATCAAGGTCAATCTTCTTGGCGCTATTAAACGTTTCACCCGACTTTGAACAGGAAGTTGTTTTTTATTTTCTTTCTCATTCTTGCATGTATTCTGCAGTTCGCCCAGTATTTTTTCGTAACTTTTAATTTTCTAGCAAACTGGAACTCTTAAGAACTAGCACCCCCTACCCTGCTAGCAGAGTCGCTTCGATTTTTCCTAGATAAGTCGGGGAAGAGGAAGCGACTCTGCCGACATCTTCAAGTTCCTTTGATCTGCCGATCATCCAGCTTCTTGGATGAGTCAAACAAGTTTTATACTGGATAAACCAGTTTTATCTGTGCACGCACGCTTATTCTGCAATTTTGCTGACTCTTTCTGCGCCCACGCTCCATACAAAAACAAATGGCTGCCGCTTCAATTTCATGCGGGAATTTTGAGAAAATTATAGATTGAACGTTCAGTTTTAGAAAATTGGAAAATGTACCCAGATTCGAGATGGATTTTGTTTTGGATTTAACCATGTACTCAGCCGATTTTGTTGCGTGAACGGATTCACAATCCAGTAAGTGTTACGCGAAGTTTTTGGAAGGATAAACAAATGGGTTCTGAATAAAAATAATAATATTTAAGAAACAATATCTATGCTTATTCTTTTGTGTTCGCGATAACATTAATTCAAAATAAGATCATGAGGCTACAGAATCCATGTTGCATTTAAATGATCGATGCTTTTACAGCTGTTTGTGGGCAACACCCGACTTGCTATGCCAAAAACGTCTTTGGATTTTGTGTTTTTCTAGGACGTCAATCAAAATCTGAAGAAGCGGCGCTTTCTTCGCTTTCTCGCCTTTTATACATCTTAGCGAACCTCTTAGGAAACAAAGGTCGTCGTTCGTGATTTGTGATTGGTGGATTTCGATCCGTTTTGTGTGTTTCTGTGTTTCAGGGTTAGGTGCTCTGTTTTTGAAAAGCACCGTAAGTTTTGCTCTAAGATTTTATTATCTTCTTTACACTGAAACATGGCAAGTTTAGATTACAAAGGTGAAATTGTTCCTATAGAGCTTCTAAATCCAGAGGAAACACAGCTACGGAAGGGTGAAAACGAACCGGTACGTCCCGGCTGACATTTACATTTGCTAACAAACATAATGGATGCTACGGTAACGGTTTGATTGACGTCGCAGAGGTTCCTTCCTCTTCCCGACTTATCTAGGAAGATCGAAGGAGACTCTGTCCGTAGGGTGCCACCCTCCCGCCCCCCTCCCCCTCTTTGAGTGAACTTTTATTCGGTCTGATTCACAATAATCTTGGAAGGGTGACAAAGTGAAATTTGAAATGATATTTTATTTTAGTATTTTTAAAAGCTCATTTTTTTCCCAATAGCCAGGAATGTTTTGAACGTAAAAGCTCAAGTGTCGGTGTTTTTCACGACTCTGCTTGTGGACTGACCTCACCACCAGTATTACATCACGGACATAAAATCTGATCCGAGAGGGTCAAACAGTAACTGATGGGTCTCTGAAAAGCGAAATGCAGTCACTTTGGGGCGAGTAGGCTATACAGATGATGAACCCTTTGTTTATAACTCCATGACCGTATCCAAAAAGTCATGCCAGCCCGAGGCGAGCGAGCACAATTTTGGGACCACTGGCCATCCCCTTATGTTTGGCGGGAAATTGGCTGATTAGTCAAATCTCCTTAACTCCACGACCATGCACCTTTCCAAATATTGCCCTTCTAATCATCATATAGTTAGGGCCTCCCGTAAGCATTTGCAACTATTTTGATTTGTAGAAGACCGTTTAACAGTTTTCATTACTTTAATGTTTCTTAAACAACACGAGGTACATGTTCTGATCTCTCCCCCCATCCCCCACCCCCCCCCCCATCCATAACAAAAAAAATTTCAGAGAGAGTATAACACATTCAAGAAGAAACAAATTTGTGATTTTTCACAACTCGCTAAAAATAACTAAAAATGTGTACCACTCGGTTATACAAGATTTTTGTTTTCACTTTCAGATTTTTACGATGGGGCATTAGCTCCTGTTCTCACTAGACACTACTTTATAATCATCGTGTTAAAATCAGTGAAATACTCCATTTGCATGGCGTACATTTTGAAGAACATTTGAAAAAAATTTGGATTCCTACCCTTATACCTTTGTTAAAAATTAAAGTTGGGAAGTTTGTTGTTTTCTAAAAGTAGTTTGAACAGCCGAACGAAATTTTTACACGGAGTGGGGAAGGCAAAGCTTCACTTTTCTCTTCTAAGGTAGAAAGTGTCAGCAAAACATGAGAGTCGTCCTTGAGGGTAAAGTGTCTAACCTAATTTTGTCACCGATTGCAAGTGCCATTTCATCCACGCATAACCTTACCTAGTTAACGGAATTAGCAAATATAATGGGGAAACGTTACGAGAGAACTGAGTAAGAAGTTAGGGTAAGTTTTGAAAATTGTGCGCACACCTGGAAAATCCTGGCTACGCTCCTGATAGAGACTTTCGCTGGAGAGGAATTGAAACGTGCTCGCTAATATAGTGACGACCAGAAAGGACAAGCCATAGGATAGTTCCAGAAAACCACCCATTAAAATAGATCATAAGGTTGTCGCGGCGGTGGATGAACTTGAAGCTTTCTGATGAAGTGCAATTTTCAAGGGAGCCCAGACAAGATTATGTAAGATGCGCACAGCTTGTTTGATCTGGAAAATTTCGAGAAGCTCAAAGCAAATCGCTAGACAACACATGCTATAGCTGAAATAAAAATCTTTTGCGCTTTTGAACTCTGTCCCTAAGGGTAAAGGAGAAAGTTTCCGTTTATCAATGCATTAACCAAGTTGATTATGAATGTTTCCTTATGTTGGACGTCTTACTAACAAGCACATTACCACTACTTGGCCTCACAGGCGTTTTTGAGTTAACGAGCAGAGAAAATTAGGTTTTGACGGTTTGAAAGTCAGGATGCCAGAGTGAAGACGCCTTTTGTATGATGACGTCATCGTCCTACAGTAAAAAGCGTTCGTTTTTTACCACTGATATTACGTCAATCAGTACACTTATGTTGTCGAAAGGTCCGTGAGCATGGTAAATGATTTTACGTTAAACTGCAGACACATCTTCAATTACTCCTTATTGTTCGCGATAGCGGATAAACACTCTGGTCGCTAACTGAATTTTCTTTGCTGTCTACTTTATTTTGAATTAGGACTCTCTTGAGTTGTCCATGCATTGACTAGCGATTTTAAGCTTTTTCAAGGAAACGAAAATCTGGAATTGTCTCTAGGGTGAGGCATTTGCGCACAGTTTTAAAGCCCTTCGGTGGGGTGACTGTGGTTTTTGTAGTCCTGGGCTCATCCCTCATTCTTCTTAACCCCTGTCTATCAAAAAACCCTTTATGGAAAGACAAAGAATCTCCTCAAAACGGGCTTCGTGATTGAGATAAAATACCTGAAAATTGTACACGGAACCGTTGCTAATATTACTTTGCCAACGCCCAATTTTTAAAAGCGGAAGTAATGATGTTTTTTTCAAGGGCTCATGTCTCATGAGTTTTGAGTGAATCTTCAAACGCTGTTAATACATGTAGCTGGAACTGTCATTGCATCCTCGCTCAATAATAATGATAACTTACATAAAATTCCATTATTTATTGCCTGGCTAAGATTTTCAGGGATTCTTCAGTTCAGTTGTTTGAAACCAGGCGGTTTCACGTGAGTTGTAACGCCATGCAAGGAACGTGACGACCCGCGATATGCGAGGGAAAATATTACTTTTTTTCGATCAAGGTGGAAACTGACATCTTTGTCGTCGAGTAAGGTAATAAATCTCACTTTTCATTACTATGGTTAATTTTAAAATCTCTGGATTCGATAAAGGAACTGGAGGAAAATCAGGAAAATCGGCCAGTTCGACTGTGATGGTTGCATTTTGTTTACGCGTCGTAGCATAAACATAACAAATTCATTTTCCTTTTCCTTATACAATCTTCCTTTTTTTATACTGTTTTTCACAGCAGAGTTATCGATTATATTACAGAGGCTAATTTTATCACACAGATCACTCAGATTTAAGGACAGAAACTCTATTATCGATCGTAATTTTGGCAACACTTGGCGAGTATTCGGTGTAAAGTTTATTGACAAGATCGCTAGAACACTATTCCATTCATTACTTTTGTTTCTGCTCCGTTAAATTTGCCCAATTTTTTTATTAACGAACTCGATTTAACTACAAACAATGAGTATTCAGGCAGAGTGGCAAGCCTCAATGCGATGTGGCAAAAGAGATATACGCCTTTAAAGTTCTGTTAATTTTGAGGGTGTAGAAAATTCAAAAAGTATACCCACCAAAAGTTTAATCGATCGTTGCGAAAACGTTATCAATTTCGAAGTAGTTTCTGAAAATACAACAAAGAGGGATTGTTCTTTCAATGTGTATCGGCAAAGGAAGATTAGCTTTGAAGACAGGGTTGTAGTCGAAGGCTCAAAAGCAGCTTCTATTAACCAATATGGCGCCGGTCCGAGGCACCAAAAAACCGGTCATGTCGATTATTTCCGAAATAGGAGGAATTAGAACCTTAAGTTACCTATTCCTTATTAAAGACCCCAAATCAAGTCTACTTGCCAATTTTTAGCCAATTCGGTGAGATAGTGTGGCAGCGACTTTTCAATATAGCTCGAATCTTACAGACAACTGCTCTTAATAATCGTCTCATTGTAGCTGGCTCACGACACCACTTGATTTGCGTTGGTTGTTCTTGGGAGTCGCTAACCGTTAAAACGGAGGAAAGTAAATAAGTTTTACTTAGCTGTGTTAAGATAAAATCTGNCAAAGGAAGATTAGCTTTGAAGACAGGGTTGTAGTCGAAGGCTCAAAAGCAGCTTCTATTAACCAATATGGCGCCGGTCCGAGGCACCAAAAAACCGGTCATGTCGATTATTTCCGAAATAGGAGGAATTAGAACCTTAAGTTACCTATTCCTTATTAAAGACCCCAAATCAAGTCTACTTGCCAATTTTTAGCCAATTCGGTGAGATAGTGTGGCAGCGACTTTTCAATATAGCTCGAATCTTACAGACAACTGCTCTTAATAATCGTCTCATTGTAGTTGGCTCACGACACCACTTGATTTGCGTTGGTTGTTCTTGGGAGTCGCTAACCGTTAAAACGGAGGAAAGTAAATAAGTTTTACTTAGCTGTGTTAAGATAAAATCTGTCGAAGGAAAGATTGAATCCTTCTCCTAATAATGGACATACCAGAAAGGAATAAAATGTCCCGCCTCTTCATTATATGTTGTAGTTCACCAAATTTTGAGTAAATTTTTACCTTTAGTTATTTTAATTTCGGGCTTGGTAATTTATGACAATGAATTAAAAAAAAGGGAAAATAAAGTTAAACCAAGGAAAAAATGAATCACAAGATGTGTATGATGTGCAGTGTGATGATCAGAAATGATAATGGCATAAAATTCCCAGCGTTCATTAGTTTTGAAAATCTGCCAAGGTTGCTTTGACTTCTTTTAATTTATTAATTAATTAAGTAATAAGTTTTTTTACTGCACGAAGAACAAGAATAGCTGGTGGTATCGGCGTTAGCGCGAGTAAAGTTTTGAAAGAGAAGCTGCGAAGCCGTGCAGAGAATGGGGAGGAGACGCACCGTTCAGCTATGCAATACTAAGTCTAGAACAAGAGAGATACAGAAATCAAAGAGAAAACAATGGCGAGGAGGCGCGCCAAAAGAAAACTATCTCGCTTATATTGATTAGGCCTCCTAGGTTATAATTTTAACAACTTGTTATACTACTACATGAGAAATTTCTACAATTTGTTTGCTTAGAGCAGTGGTATTTCAGCTTAATTTGAAATACCTATAAATGAAAATTACAAAACCTTTGTGGGTAGTAGTATAAACAAATAATAGCATGACTCGACGTGATATTTGGCATAAATACCACTCGTGATGTTTCATAAATTGTCTCATGCTATTACCTATGCAAATTACAAAATTACGGAGTAAGTGGTTCTTTGTTTAGTAGATAATTGAATCCAAAATTTGGGTCCAAGGTAGTAAGCACATGATAATAAAATAGTTCTCAGTAGAAAATTGCGGTTAAAAGAAATCAGATTGTTGTTGTTCATCGATTATTATTGTCTTAGCTCACATCTTGCGCTAGTCAGCAGGCTGTACATGTAGTGTGTAAATAATTCACAAAGAGTTCAGGGTTGTGGAGTCCCTGTTCCAGTTTTAAGATTAAAATTTACTTTTATCATCTCCATCCGTAACATAACAAAAACAAACTCCACCTGCGCAATAAATGACAACAACATACTATTCAATGATAACCGCACCGAGACCTTGTAGAAAGGTGAGAGGCAGATCACTCTTCTCTTTTTTCGAAAATTTCTGAACAGTTTTCTCAATAACACAATGGCCCCATTAAAATTTAAATTGAACAAATCTTCAAAAAAGATAGCTTTATGTTACTGCTTAATGTATCTATGGGACACTAATTTTGATAAATAATTAAAATTAACTGATTCGACCGATTTAGCCACTTTGAAACTGGAATTTTATCTTTAATACATTTTAAAAAATTATACTATAGGTATTTAGGTATTTTATTTATTTACCACACAAATAAAATAATTACAAAAAAATGCCAAAAAAAAAAAAAAAAATATGTAGGAAGAGATGGCGAGGAGGCCTAAAAGAAACTACAGAGCTTATGTTACTTAGGCCTCCTCAATTACAATTTTTCGAAGATGGCATAAAAATTACGGCGACGGATACAATATAATATGAGGTGAAAAATTAAACTAATCAATATTACGGAAGTTTACAAATGTTGAATATTAAAAACTTTTTCCCAAGATTTTTGTTGGAGTATACTATACATACTATACTGCTACTCCTGCTAGAAATATGAAAACAGTTTTGAAGCATGTTGGTTAGCCTACTCTAAGGAGTTAGTCCAAGACTTTTGCCGTGATATAATGTTAGCTGAAAACGGTTGTCGAATGAATACCTGACTAGATAAACAAGCAGAGGAAAATTTCAATATATGTGATATGTCAGTTTTAATGCATCTAGGATACTTACCCTATCATTCGCTTTTTTACTCCATCTCAGTCCATGCTGATTTTTAACTAAGCTCAAAACTTGTGGAACTCAGTGTTTGGTCAAATCTGTCTTTTTAAAGGAATGTGTCAAATCATACACAACCATTTCTGAGGTTTAGTCTTCAAAAATCATTTCCTTTTCTTACTGAGAGTGAGTACTGCGACGTAAAAGTGGAACGTATGATACGGCAACGTGATCATGAAGGCATTTGGTGTTATGCGGCAATCATGTTATGACGTCATGTTACCCATGGTTTTCGTGTTGGGTAGGACTCAATTTCCAATGATCTTTCAGTTACTATTTTAGGCTAATTTTAAAAAATCGTCAAAAAGCCGTTAACAACAGCAGAAGAAGTCAAACTCTGAAGCTTTCAGGTGAAGTTGCACGAAGTCATGCACAAATAGATAAAGTGATTTTATTACTGGTCGAGATCAGGAGCTTGTGGATAGCTTCAATCTTTAAAGAATGCTTTTGTTTTTCTGAGTACGAGTACTGCGACGGAGGGGAGAAATGTATGATACGGCGTTTCTTCCTTTTTTCAAATAGAGCGCCGCGTTTTCTTATTTGATCTTTAAGGGATCAAAAAAAATAGATTAAAATATATTAAACCTAAGCTGAGAATAACAGTAGACCTAAAATGCGATAAACCTGTCCCTGACAATTTGTTAAAATCAGTTTTATTAAAACGTTGGCTTCATTTTCCATGCGTGCAATATATACAGTCACACCTCTCCAGAGCCGTATTTCGACGATCCTTTTGTAATAATTAGAAACTAAGGAGCTTTATTTAATACACATCGCAATGATGTCTTATGCAACTTATATGCTTCGTTATCACCAATATCACTTTAGACTATATTACCTACTTTAAAGAGAAACGGGATCGAGAAGCTGGTCATCAAAACTGAAAATACATATCACACTGAAAAGAAATATAATTTATGTGAAGGGAAATGGACGAAAAGCCATTGCTCTTCTTGCTGAGATCCTGACTGAAAAGCTGCTTTTGTGTACAAACATTGCGGTTCGTGGTCAATTCTGGACGTCTAGAATTGGCTCTAAATAAAATTCATGGAGTTAAGCCTTCGCACTGACACCGAGAAGAACGTGAGATGACAAACAGTTCGTAAAATAAAGGCGGAAATACAATCTGAATCATAGTAAAATGAGTCAGGACGTTGATTGGATCAGGTAGTCAGTTTGTCAGCCTCTCAATATTCCGAGAATTTTCTTGTCTAAGGTATTGATATTGCAATATTAAATATGTGGTCTATACTAGAACAAGAAGAGTTTAACATACCAGCAATATGCCGAAAACTGCAATTATTCAGGAACTTTCGGGACTCAGTAGTTCAGGCTACAGAGACCAGTCAACCTACTGAGGTAAAACCAAGATTCGTACCTGATAAAAACGGCGAATCAAACGAGCCGATAGGACAGCAATAACGAGCGGAAGCTTTGCTGGAAGACCATCGATTAGAATTTGCCTTTCTTACAGACTGAATGACTAATTTACCGGTTTGCCGCATAACTAATGTAAACTACCTGCTTTCCAGGAACAATAAGTTAAAGACATTGAGAGTCGGTGCAGAAAAAAACTGTCTTTTTTCTTCATATCGAAGATCTTTACATGGTATTTATACCATAAGGAATCGAATTTCAGTGTTGAAAAACACAAATGATTGACACATGAAACTCTTATATCATCGCATACCTTGGTAAAACATCTGCTAGTTGAAGACTTGGGTGATGAAAACCCATTTAAGTGGAAATGTCACTGATGATAAATGTGTCTGTCATTATGTCTACATCAGTCATTAATACACTAGAAAGGCATTTAAACAGAAAACAATGATTTCTATTCGAAAAAAAGTGAAATCAAAAAAATAATATTGAATTTCAACTCCAAGACAGCTCATATCCGATGAAATAAGTAGAAATAGATACTTTAATTTATTTCTCATGCACACAGTTGTCTTATTTCCGCTTAAACACGCCAAAATCGTTATTATCTTTTATGTATCGTGCTTTTCTTCATGAACACAGTGTAAACAAGTCTGATTATTTTGTTTAATTCTGCCGAAAACAATACGAAATCAGTACATTAAGCCTAGCATTTACCCTTTTCGGGATTAGATGAAGAGTATGTTTTTTGCATATATGCAACGAAAATTGTTTCCCGGTTGTACAGCTGCAACAACCGAAAGTACCGTATTTCCTCGAATATCGAACAATAGCCGTCCCTCGAATAATCGCCCCCCTTTGACGGAAATATTTGAAATAATCGCCCCCCTACCCCCCTCCTGCCATCTTCACTTTCTTTTATCCCCTCCTTGTCAAGTTGACGTGCAATGTGATCCAGTAAAACTGATCAGTGACGATTCAAGCTCTGAAAATTAATCAAGAAACTAAATTTGGAACACCTAAAAAGCCCATGTTCAGTTTATCTGATGTGATTATTTTTTGATTTAATGGAAAAATAATAAATAAAATAATGTAATATTTAAGGCACGACTTCCAGTGAGCAATATTTGAAATAATCGCCTCCCTCGAATAATCGCTTTCCCTTGAATAATCGCCCCCTTTTTGTGCGAAAAAAGAAATAATCGCCCCGGCTATTATTCGAGGAAATACTCTAACTAACATCCTTGAAGACTCAGGGAAAACTAAATGGAAAAGAAATATTATAATCCTCTGCTTCCCATTGGTCAGAAAGTATTTCTTGGCCAATCAGTAAGAGAGAAATAAAATGCTTCTGGAGCTGTTTGGTTGAAAGTGAGTGTCCACAGGCTGCCAACCCGACTTAAAATGATATAGCCAATAAATATCAAGTGACGATTAGCTGCGCCTTGCCCCGAGGATAATTTATGTTCTACAAATTTGAAAAAAAAAAAAAGAAAAAACACGAAAAAAAAAAAATCCTCATTCTACAACTTAACAAAATAGCCACACCACGAAACACCAAGAACACCAAATGATAGTCGAGGGTTAGCATTAGGTAACATCGGGTGAAGTCAGATTGTTTCTTTCAGTAAAATTACATGAAGAACAACTTTAAGTCTAACTTTACTGTGTAATATAAAATAAGATATAAAAACTCCACTGTAATGCTTTGGAACCGGGTCACTTGCTTTATAGCCTACATCCATATTCACTACACCATCGAGGACTAGCTGCCAAATCCAATATTTTTTAAAATATACATGTTTTTTTATGCCGTACCCCATTACAATATTTGAAAGCTAACCGCTTTCAGTTCAGTGCTTAACCCTAATCACTGCAGATCAGTGCTTAACTGTCTACTGTGTTCTCTCCATAACTGGCGCTCTGTAGTTTTGGTTTGTTCAGCTATTCTAGCCTCATTGTACATTCCAGTCTCGTTCCATTATGAAAATAATGCGTTGTGAAAAATTCATAAGGTGTCCAATCTGGCTTCACTCGATGTTATCTAATGCTAACCATAGTCGAGAGCCATAGGTTCCAGGACTCACTCGGTTGAAATGGAGAGTGCATCTATTGTGGTAACCGTTTTACCGATCCAACTCTACTCAAAAGTCTTTGAGAGAACGCTTCGCCTCCAAAAATGTCATTGGTCTGGAGTTCATGCTCCTTCCGGCGACGACGCCATATGTGGGTATTTTTGGTTCTCTTCTCTCAGTTTTCCCCGCTGGGTTCTCCGGATTTCCCTTTTTCTAAAATAATACTGTCTACATTGTCATTCGATCAGGAAAAGGTACCCAATCTCAGTATGCATGCAATTCTCTGTAGTGCTAGTAACTTTAACTTTAACTCTTTATTCTTACATCGTTCATACAGTACAAACTCAGTAAAGCCAAAGCCGGGGGCTTATACGACCTGTGGTCAAAATGACAGAAATTATTTTAGGTAGAAATGAGGACTGAAGGCTAAATTACAAAACTAAAAACAAGATACAAAACTTAAATTAAGTAATGCAAGCAGTCCTATAGCAGGGATAAAACTAGAAGTACTAGTGACAAATAAACTAACAATAAACTATGATAATCCTGCGCTAATTCAATTCAGGCTTAAAAAGTAACGTTTTAGTTTCTTTTTAAAGTCAGTGGTGGTAAGGCTGTTACGGACAGTCAAGGGGATATCAGTGGGATATCCTTGGGCAAATAATCGGGGCTTGAGAACTAATTAATAATAGCAAATTGATACCTGAGGGACATTTTATGCAAGTTGAACGAGAACGAGTTAGATAATCATGAAAATCACAATTAAAGGGGAGGAGCAAGGAAAGAGAGGCAGGTGGAAGGCTATTAAAGTGTGTGAATACAAAACAAGAAACATGGAATTTATATAGTGAATGGAGGGAAAGAATACAAAGCTTCGAGACTAGGAGGCTTAGAACGTGTTCGTGGAGGAGAAAAGGTGATAATTCGCGCGCGAGAGAGAAAAGAACAAAAACCGATCTGTTCAAGCAGACTCTCAAGGTCATGTTTCACATTATCACACGAGCTTATGAGTCGTGTTTTGCCTGTCGGACGCAAATTTCCAACTGAATCGATCGTTGTTTCGGCCAGCATTCATGAAACCTGAGCGTACACAGTCTCTCAAGAGACAATCCAGGGATTCCAACAAATCCGTTGTCGGGGAACCAACAACCACCACTACTGTGATGGCAGTGAATAAGGACCAAACCCTGCTCGAAATTAACGCGGTCATTGCGGCCATGCTTGATTCAATCTGAAGTTACTTTTCAGCGCCATCGTACATGAAGGGGATTTTTCCTAGCGGTATAATTCGATGCCTCTTACACGACGACTTTCCGTGACCCCATCTACCACATGCTTGTTTGCAACGCATATATATGGGCTTTTGTGTGCGCATATATATGCGTGTTTGTAAGAAAATGGTCATATACTTGGGAATAAAAACCCCACAAAGCAGGAAAGAACGCAAGTATACGTGTAGCAGGAATGATTGCAAGTATACGTGGGAAAAAACCGCACGTATATCGTGTCATAATTTTGAAACAAATGGCTGCCCATAGTAATCAAATTGTAAAGTCAAAATAGCGAGGTTTTACGAATTCTTATTTACACTAGGTTGAAGATGAACAAAAAAGAAATCTTTATACAAGTTTTCATTCCCGTAGCACACTTCATTTCGAAAATACAGCAATTTGAACTTCCGAGTTTTTACAATGCGTGACACCAAGAAAAATAGGAATGCTTTCACGTTGAAAAGTCTCTCCACTTGATTTTCAGTAGTATAACCATTTCAAGTTTTAAAAGATATGTTTATGGGCACGTATGCTAGTTCTCGAGTGAAAAGAAAGAGCTTTTGTAGGAAAAGTGAACTCCAGATCATGATGTTTTTGTTGATTTCCGGCGGCCATATTGGTGGACCAAAACGGTACTTCAATATGGCGTCTCCATACAAAGCTGTGCAAAGGTGCACGAAACGTTTCGGCAAATAACTCAAAAACTGTGGGCCACAAAGACCTGAAACTTGGACAAATCGTTCATATTTTAGCATAGGCGTACGGGAAATTTTTTGCCAGGGGGGGCGGTAAACCATTTGCCCAAAGAAATCTCGCAACTTGCTCAAATTTTTACGAAAGAGTCGAAAAGAAATGAGGGCCATATTGCAACAACATAGGCAGTCCTGGCATATGAAGGTGGCTCGATACGGTTTTCAGAATCAATACCAAGTCTGAGCATAAACTAAGTCGGCATAAACAAACATTTGGAAAACTTGCGACCACAGTTGTATTAAGATGAAAACTTGTCATCATCAGGGTTGCCATGACATCGGAGTTGTCATAGCAACGAAATGTCTCCATTACCTATTTTACTTCAGCAATGATTCTCTGCACGGGAACCTTACAAAATCGTTCACAGGAGCTTTTTTCTCCAATACGGTTGCTTCGATGTTCGTGAAGTTTAAGCATAACCTTAAGAGCGTTATCGAGATATTTTGGAATGAAGTTTTTATTATTAGAAATACGGTAAGAAAAGGAAAATCTTGATTTTTGGCCGTTATCTGTAGAAAACGAAGGGCTTTTGACCTGCAATTTCACCTCATAGTAGTTTTAATCTTTTTAAAACATATGTGAAGATCGTGGAGATAGCTCAGCTTGATTGCTAGAATCGAAAGAAGGATTTGATTAGTATGTATCGAGACACTCTTATTAGCGGTTTTGTGAACATTTCGGTCTGCTTTAACAAATTAGCGTATAATATTAAACCGCTCGATAGATTTTTTAAAAGAATTAAGATTCTTCTGGTGATTACAACTGAGAATTAGTCAGCCACTTCTTCCTTTTTAATACCCATTGCTAAATGCTATCTGCCATACACTGTTCTTCGAGTGGAAATGATTCTAGAAAGTTATGCGAAAGTTTATTTTAATCAATTCACGACTGGAAATAGCCCATTCCAGCTAGTGCAGTGCAGTATAGTGCCCAACAAAAAAACTGACTGCAAATATGTAAATTACTCATCACATGTTAGGCAACCACTGTAATGTTATGTAACTGGATTATTACGCCGACTTCAGGTTAATATTCAGGTCTTTAAAATAATTAATCTTTAAAAACTGGCTTTGCCCAAATTGGGGGGGCTGCAGCCCCCTCGCCCCCCCGGCCCGTACGCCTATGTATTTTAGTCTTTTATAACATTTTATCTTCTTGGCTTCTTCCACTGGGCAGTTTCAATTTAAAATAAAACAAATAATTACTTTGCATCATTTTATTCACAAGTTTTACTTTTATTGTTAAAAAAACATCCATTTTCACTCAAAAATGGCTTGACCACCGGTCACGTCATATCTCGTAACCATAGTAACTGACCATCACTAAACTTGTCTCAGAATGAGCTCGAGGGATAAACAAAGAGCTACAGAAAACTTCAGATGCCGATGTTTAATCGTCTAGGAAAAAAATCAGAAAAACCTTAGAGGAGGGTGGCAACCACCCCTCCCCCCTCACCCCTTGAACGTCCGAGGGTTAAAACCAGTGTACAGCTTATGACAGAGCTTTAAAAGCGAAAAGAAAAAAGCCCCCTGCCTTCTAAATGAGATTCAGACTCAGATTCAGAATGTCCACATAGTAAAGAGACAATGGCTGCGGGCGCTCTTGCCAAACATTTGATGCAATATCACAATAGCTTTTTGTAGTATTTCAGCAATAACAACAACAAAACCATTATTGCCTTTCTAAAGCTGGTTTGGTTCAATTTCGTTTTTTGTTTTATTCCCTTTTCTTTTGCGAATGTTATTAAATTTGAAGAAAAGGAAAAAAAAATTTGAACGACGAACAAAATTAAACCACAACATTGTCAGCCTATAATCAAGATGTATTTTTTGCATTTTTTTCAGCACTGGTAAGGGGTACAATGATAGACAGTGGTTTGGCGTAGATTTGATGGGCGTCCTGTTCAACTGAAGACCCTGATTGCTAACTAAAAACATGACAAATAACAAGCCGTTTTTAATGCCGTTTACTTTGCACAAAAATAATAATACGTCACGTCCTAAATAAATTTTATATTAGCATTGCAAATACTATCGCTCGCCTAAAACACATCGCCTCAACACACTCAAATTGTCTTTATACATGTATATTAGTGCAAATACTATCGCTCGCCTAAAACACATCGCCTCAACACACTCAAATTGTCTTTATACATGTATATTAGTGCAGATGTAGTAGGGTCAACACAAGAATTCAAAAGCAGAGGCTTATGATGCACGACAAGAAGCAAAACAAAATATCTTTAATCTATTAATGATACATGAAGGACAATACGGAAATCAAGTACAGAATGCAAAGTTAAGCTTTGAATTTCTTTCTAAAATTAAGCCTTTAGATGCAATATCAGTCACTAAGCAGAATGTTTCATCCGGTATACAGACACTTCTTAAAAAACCTCGACTACACCTCGCTTTTTAGTGTTTGAATACTGGATGGAAACCTCCTCTTGCGTTTAATATATGATGCCTAAAATTGAATACTTGACGTTTCAGAAGTCGCCGTGATAGGAACTTAAAAGGCTACCTTCCGGCAAAATTTCAAAGTTACAATGTACACAAATTTTGGAAACAAAGAGCCATGAGCAGGACCAACATAAATAACAAGAAAGAAGCATTCGGTAGAAAATCAGTGAAGCTTAACAGAAAATATTCTCAGTTCACGGATCAATAGTTAATGATAATTTGTTAATGATATAGCCATAGTGTACTCCTAAACTTCGTCTCTCCTCAATGACTAAAGGAAGAAAGGCGTAGATTTTGTATTGTATTTCGCGCTGCAGAGAGAGAAAAATTAAAGTATTATAATGATGTTTGCAGTCTTCAAGTAATAATTTCTCTAAGAGAAGAAGGGAGAGATTATTGACTGAAGTTTAAACTAACAAACATGTAAAGAATTTGGCTCAGTATTGTATAACTAGCATTAAGGGAAAATGTTTGGGAAATTTTATTTTGGAGTGGTGATTTTGGAGGAATTTGATCTTACCATCAAAATATGTAGTGTCAGTTATATCATCTGGCCGAGGGACAAATGGCGGAGGATGGCTTTCGATGGACGTCCAGTCGAGATTTGAAAAGAATGGAAGACTTTGAATTTCTGTAAGGATAAGAGATACGAAGTTAGCTTTAAACTACTTCTAACGGACAAAAACAAATCAGAACCTTGAGTTATCAAGTATATATCAAACAAACAAGCAAACGGCATTTAAGTTGTCTGGCTTGTTTCCCTGGTGTAGTCTAAATGAAATAGAGACCGTCTGTAAAATCCACATTTTTTCTGTTCGACCAGCCTAACACTAGTAGTAGTGAACTTTGTTAACGTGTCAAGAATCTCTAGCGCATAGTACTAATTGGTGACACAAATAACAGATAAATAATAATAATAATAATAAAATTAAATACTAAAATAGAGTTAAAATAATGTTAAAATAGTCATTCAAATAGTAAAAGCTAGGAAAGGAAAAGAAAAAAAATAAGACCTATTTACCCGTAAAAATGTATGTTTATGATAACAGGATAAAAATTAGGGTCTCAAAGTTAATTATTGCACAGCATGCAACGTCTACAGCCATCCTCAATTAAGGCACTCAGGTCTGTTCTCCTAATTTTAGTCTTAAATCTGCGCAGACTATCCTCGGCACGTAATTATATACTCGCTAAATAATCTTTTTTCCTCTTTTAATCGATAAAACAAATGCGCTTTGAACACAATCTAACGTAACCAGGTGGTGAATCTGGTAGTTGAATAAACGTTGCAAGCAACACGACCAAAAAAACTAAGGAAACTAAACTTAAAAGTCTCTGCAATTTTTGTCGTTGCTGTTGTTTAGAATTATTATATAACAAAGACGGCATTAAAATACCTAATGCTCCAGGTCTGAGCTCTGCCTTAAGGGTTAGAATTTTCTCAACGGCCCCAACGGCTGTTTCAGACAGTGCTTCGTCTCCTTCAGGCCAAAGTAGCTCTAGAAAATGATGTATCAGTCTTAAATATTCGATAACTCATTAGTGAATATTCTTGAGACAAGTCTTTGCCTAGAAAAGGATTTAGCAACGTACCTCTTTGCATGATGTGGCTGAAGACCAGTTCTGGGGTGTCGTCATTAAATGGTGGAACTCCAGTTAGGAATTCATACAAACAAACGCCTAGTGACCACCAGTCCACTGCAGGAGCTAAAGGCAAAAATAAAACCCATGCTCAGAGACATTTCTCTAGTGAATTAAACTATGTTTCTCATTGTTTCGAAAGATAGGCGATGAATACTATCCTCCCTTTAAAAGTTGTTTAGTTTTACATGTAATTCCTCACCACTCTTAATAATTAGTAGTAATTAGAATATTACATCGAGTCGTTCTCTGGCTCCTACACATAACGCAAATGTAGCTGAAGCTGCAGTATAAATGCTAGAATTTGTTCGAAAAGGTGAAACAGCTAGAGTATCCACAGCGTTTCTAAGAAGCAGTGAGCATCGAGGAACTCTTGCTGACCTTAATGCTATTAGAAGAGAATAAATATTTTCATACATCCAGTCAAATTGAAATATTTTCTAGTGTTTTCTTGAATGTTTCTTTCTACCATTACTATCCTAAATGAATAGGGTCAAGAAGGAAGAACTTTTACCAAGCCATTTTATTATTCAGTCTGCAGAAAAAGAGCAGTTAACTCCTTGCATGAGAGCCTCAATTGCCGTACTCTAGCCAAATACTCTGTCAGCTGATACTCAATGTTGTCAGTTTGGGGAAAAGGAAAGGGATGATTATCTGTTATTTTTATTTAAACAGAGTCCTTTACAACTCTTCTCCAAAGGCTTTGTGACAAAAGTTAGAGTCAAGACTCTTCCTTAATGCATTATCAAAATGCATTGATCTCTTAAGCCGCGTGCAAATGGACGCAAAATTGTTGGCCAACAACTCCCAACATCGTTGGGTGTTACATGTTTCGTCCGTTTGCACACCCTGTCGCATGTTGTTGGGAGTTGTTGCGTAAAGTTTGAAACCGGCCAAACTTTTGAGTCAACAACCCCCAACATTTCTGTTGTCCCGTGATCGCCAAAGCGTAGCACAACAATGTTGGATCCGTTTGCACAGCTCTTCTAACACTGTTGGAGCCGAACACGTGCCTTACACATTGTTTACAAAGGCTTATGGGTTTTATCCTTCCCACGGTGCACTGCAGGTCCCAACATTGTTGGGAGTTTTTGCGTCCGTTTGCACGTAGCTTTAGAGACACACTTACTATGATCGTGCCCTAGCAAAATTTCTGGAGCCAAATAGTCTGGAGTTCCAAGTATCCTGTTCTTAGGTGGTGATGCATGCGGTCGGTTGCCTCGGCGACAAGACTTCGGGGTCCGAAAAGGAGTACGCATAATAGGGGCCGAGGTATGATGCCACTGTTGAGACACCTCCATTATACCCGGAGTGCCCTTAGAGCTTGCCTGACTCTTGAATGTGACATCCATTGGGGATTCCGCCATAAGGGGTGAATTGATTTCCATACCAGTGTGTTGTGTTGACTTTGAGTATGTTTCCTCAAAGGTATTTTCTTTGTCACTGTCGTTCTCAAAGGGAATAGTAAGACATCGAGGGCGAGTAAGAGAAGATTCGACGCTTGAATTTCCATCGACAGTCTTGTAAGGTTCAGTAGACTTAATAAAAACCTCTTCATCAGAATTGACATTTCCTCTTGAGCCAACATGCAATTCACTGATATTCTCCTGGTCTTCAACTTCGATCGTTATGCTCCTTTCTCGTAGACCAAAATGACATGGCTCAGGTGTGGCCCCGATCATGGGTGAAGGTGGTAGAAAAGAAACTCCACTTTCACGCCTTTCCAAATAGTTATTTCTTTTTTCCTTGGCTGTATGCATTATCTGATCAGAAACTTTGATTTTAGATGAACACGGAGTGCAATTAAAAGCTGGATACTGATTGTTCTTTGAACAGGTCAGAGCGGACCTGCTGGCTGGACTTTCGATAAAGCCTGAACTTCCACTCGTATCCTGAGTGGTACCAGTGCTCGTGTTAAGATTATCAACTGCTAATTTACGGCCTTGAAACAACCTCGCACAAATTGGATTTCCTTCAAATTTGTTACAATCGCCATCTGGAACTTTCTCAAACACAGGAGATTCATGGTCAAAGTCGCTTCCTGTTTCACTGTTTGTTCCGCTAACATAACCCGAAGAAAACTGCACCTCGGGGGACACGATTCTTGGGGCCACAGACGTTACAGGTGTCAAGGTGCTCATCACTTGCTCTCCTTTAGAGCAGTCGTCGCTCCCTGGTGTGACTTGTCCTTTCTCCTTTAAAAACTCTGTAATTGTTCCTGATCTTTCACGTGGACTGAAAAACTTGATATTACCAGCTGTAGAGAAAGGTGGGCTTGAGGGTGTAAGAAATTTATGAGCGGCCTGTGGGCTCGCCTTGTCGCTCTCTGTGACAGGACTTCCATATCGGTGTTCCATTGGATAAATTTGAGCATTGAAAGGTGAGGTTACCAAGTCTGCGCTTGCGCTCTTTTCACCAGGCATTTGAGACGTTGAGACACAAACTTCCAGCAGAGGATCTCTAGCAGTTTTCCTTCCGATTTCTTTTAAGGACAGAGCATCGATCTCAGCGGTAAGGCCAGAATGGCGAAGTCTCTTACTAGCTGGCAGCACATGATCTTCCTCTGGGGATCTGTTTCTAACATTTTTGTGACCCGCTCTATCTGAAAGAAGAGGCGTTTCTGGAGGGTCGTCGACGTTAAATGTTCTTTGGCTGATTTTCGGACAAAAGTGGGTTCTTTTCTTCGTGCCTTGACCTGCAAAACAACGCCTGTTCAGTTAGTTACCCTATCCAAATTAGAAAGAGCGTAATACATCTACATATTATTATGAATGAATGAATGAACGAACGAACGAACGAACGAACGAACGAACGAACGAACGAACGAACGAACGAACGAATGAATGAATGAAGAGTCGTGGTCGGTGGATGAGAGGACAACAGACGTGCCCTTGAATGTGTTCCTCTTGAGAGGAAAACAAACTGTGAATACATTCGAGTTCAGTGGTGTTAGGGACTGGAAGTGTGCCATGAAAGCACGGTCCATGGAAATGAAGTGCGTTCAACTAATATTATATGTAAATGTGGGAGTCTGAAAATGTGAATCTTGCTAATAAACAAGCTGTACTATTAAATACATGCCACATATAGTCTGTCCAAATAAGTATTTTTTGAAAAGCTCACCAGCCAATGGAGCGAGAGGCGTTTGATCACAAGGCTTCATAGCAGTTTTGGGAGTGGCACCAGGGATTCTTTCGGTGTCACTAACATAAGATTCACATGGCACTGCAGGCGTGTTTTCCAAGTGGTGCTGTAATTCTCCACAGCTGCTGTTAAGTCTAGATCTATAGGCAGGCTTCACAGAAGACAGGGACTGTGGATCAAACAAACTGGTGATCGCATTAAGAGAAATTTGTTCTTTGAATCATTTCATTGCTAATATTAAGCACGACTTTATGATACACCAATGCGCTGAGCGTTATCCTACCGATGATAAGAAGTCTTCAGATATACAATCGCCATGGCTGGTAAGCATTTGCGGCTTGCGAGGGTCAATGGATTAGTTTCTACAGAAGCAATGATGTTACGACGGTGGGGGACTGAAAAACTCGTTGATAGTTGGTTCCATCAACTAAGGCCGGGCCCGTTCACACCAATCCAGATATTTTTGAAACCTCATTTTATTTTCACAAGAATAGACCGCGGATGAAGGAGCGGATTCACTGTTTTCGTTTGGATGATAGGCTGATAGTGTAAAAAAATGCGTTTTAAAAAAGATCAGAATTCGTGTGGACGGGGGCCTAAATAGATATAGTACCGTAAAATTCCGAAAATAAGCCCCGGGGCTTATATTTTTCAAAGGCCCTTTTTGAGGGGCTTATTTTTGGAGGGGTTATATTCGGAGGGGCTTAGCTACGGAGGGAAATTTGCGTTTCAAAATCGATTGGGCTAGCCCTATAGTTGGAAAGAAATTTACCGTTTTTGCTTTTTTTTGCTTTGTATTTAAGGGTAAGTTCCAAGTACAAGCCCCCGGGGGGGGGAGGTTTATTTTTTTAAAAGGCCCTGTTTGAGGGGGGTTTTTTGGGGGGGGTTATTTTCGGGGGGGGGTTGGCACGGGGGGAAATTTGGGTTTTAAAATCGGTTGGGGTAGGCTTATTAGTTGAAAAAAATTTTCCTGTTTTTGTTTTTTTTTGTTTGTTTTTAAGGGTAAATTCCAAGGACAAGGCCCCCCGGGGGGGGGGGGGGGTTATATTCGGAGGGGCGATTTAACGGAGGGTTTTTTGCGTTACGAGTTTGGGGGGGCTTATATTTGGAGGGGCTTATACATGGAGGGGCCTATTTTCGGAATTTTACGGTACCTTAGCCATCCTAATTATATTCAAACGCTCATCCTATTGCTGCGCATAGTCCTTCAATTCGCTCTGAGGAACTATGAAATGTCGTTGATAATGAATATAATGTAGTTCATTGGCAAAGTCGTACTCGCGGTCAATCTTGCAGTTATGATGGGAAACAAGTGATTATCTAAGGGTGTGTTCCTATCAGGATCAGTGATCGGTGATCACTCGGATCATGTTACGTTAAATGACCCGATGAATCCACTGACAGGACACGGCTTCATCGATTCATTTGACGCAACATGATCTGAGTGATCACGGATCCCTGATCCCTGATCCTGATCATCCCAAAGGAACGCACTTTAAGACTTAAGGACCCTTAAGTTATGAGAGTTTTTCTAAAGACTTCCCTGTATGATTGTTGATGCGCGCTACATGCAAAAGTTGTGTAATTTTACTTACAAAAGTGAAATTCGAAGTCAATGACATCACTTGGCCTGGAGTCCTGAAAAAACTTGATCCAGCTTTGTCAGTTTTGTTCACAGAAGGTGTGCTCATAACATCAATGAAGCTCGGTTCTGAAAAAGTGCCATCCAAAAAATAAGCAGTTTTTGCTCATTAGCCATTCATTTTTTGCGTGCTAAATTTAACTCGGCCCAGTACTTCATGATTTCATACTGAAGATGACAGTTGAGCTACACTCTTTTTTATAAGAATGTCAATTTTTCGAGTTGAGCCTGGACCGTTCTTATTTTCTGGTCAGTTTTAGTCTGGAAATGTTCTTACGGATGTTCTTAAGCTTCAATAAACGGAAATCTGACACCTTTTAAGCTAGATATTGACAAGATAAGACAATGATTATAGTATTCACTTTAATGTATGGTACAAGGACAATGTAAATGTATTATAGACCGTACACAATAGGAATGTGTTGAAAGAACAGAATTTTGCATTGACTCTGATTCCATGTAGGACATTATGTAATTCAGATTTTCTGGATTTAGGAAAGTAAAAGCAGTGAAAAATAAATTGTTCTTCTCTTAGCCTCGGGTGGTTCTTAGCATGTTCTTAATGTTTGGCAAATTTCAGGCTGAATTTTCTTATTAAAAAGGTTCTTATATGAAAAAAAAAGAGAGAATATGAAAAAACAACAAAAATGTTGTCATTTTTCCAAATTTATTATCCAGACTTTTCTGTAAGCACGCAATGCAGGTAAAGAATGGATACATCGAGATTTCTATCTGTTATCGACTGGTACTTTGAAGAATTCGCAAGTCCTGAGGGTTGTGTGGTACATAAAATCTAATGGGATATTTTATCAACAATCAAGGTTGCTTACTTCTTTCAAGAGTTAATCTTGACAGTCCGAAGTCCGTTAACTTGATCTTTCCTTCATTGGATATTAGAAGATTGTCTGGCTTGAGATCCCTATTCATTGTAGTTAGGATTGGAAACTGAATTATGTTTCATAATTTAGAGCGGTTTTCACTTGACTGTCGAAAGTAATTGAGGAATTGGTTTGGTTTTGGTTTTACTACGCCCTTTGGTTGGCTAGTGTATTTACTTTGGTTTTGGTTCTACGACAGTCAAGTGAAAACCGCTCTATATTGCGCACCATAAAACCTACATACATGTTACTGTGTACAAATGTATCTAATCGTGTAAAAGTATAATACGCCATACAAGAGGGAACTAGTCAGCAAAACCTACTGCAGACCTGAAAATGGTATTTTTGACTTTGAAGTGATGCTTAGTTTTCCTTTTCATATCTTTTACTTCGAATGGACTCCTAAACGGAACGGAGATTCCATTTTAACCTTAATTCACTCACAATGTAGATGAAAACGGTTCCAGATAGAAGTTTCGTCTACAGCATAACAAACTACATGATTGAATACAATGTTAAACCACCCGCAACAGCATATTTGTGTATGCATTTTCATGAGGCCTCCTAGGGAACCTTCCTACCTGTGAATAATGCCATGTTTATGAAGGTATTCCAAAGCTAAAACAACCTAAAATAGGAAAGCAACTAACTATCAGGGATAACAATCTAGAATAATTATTATAGAACAACTTATAGTGAAAACAATTAAAAGAATTACATGAAGTTATGGCCAAAAGCAGTAAAACTATGTTACAAAATGAAATAAAATTATTAATGAGCTGTAAAGTACATAAATTTTGTTAGGTTTCTGCCATATAGCATTGTTTTGTAACCCAAGAAACTTGAATACAGACTCTCTACTTTATCTCTCTTTAACCATAAGGAACGGTGTGGCCATATAATACTTGGCACAACTATACCAAGAACTGGCATTACTGAAAAACATGTGCACATACTTACTGATGTTTATTATAAAACAAATGACTTAGTTAAAAAGTCAAACGCAAATCTCCTTCCTATTGCAGCAATATACCAAGAAGTGTAATTGTATGGTCAGTATGGGTGCACACCATTTGGGATGGCCAGGTCTCAATCAGGATTTGTTATCCAAGATTACCAAGATGGTACATGTACATTCAAATTACCGCAAAATCCTTGTTCAACTTGGATTTTGTGGTTCGTTTGATGCACTGTGATCCAAGTGATCTTGATCCTGATCTGGATTATCCCAAAGGAACACATCCTGTATTATGAATGTACATGTAGTTCCATTTTATTAGACTTGGTTTAAATTTTATTTTCCTTTGTCTTGGGGTAATGGTAATGTAAATGTATTTTGCTGAGATATTGAAAAAAAAAAGAAATTTAAACCAAGGATAAAATTGAGCCACAACGTACATTGTAATACTGTCATGTGTACCTGCGCTATATAAATTCTTGACATATCCTCATCAAAGTATCCCAGGTTATGCAGCAAAGATTTGCAGTCCCCACCAATTAAGTATTCCATTACCTAAATTAAAAATTATAGAGCATCATTTAGTAACTATATGTCGAACAACTGAGGAACTGAAGCCTTTCGTGATAATGAGTGGTAATATAATAAATTATTATATACTGGAAGGGATTATTCTATCTGAGTGTCTGATGATAAAATTAATTTCATTTTTTTGCAGATGCTCCGAGGAATTTCACTATGAGCAACAGCCTGCTAATTTCACTAGCTGAAAGAGACCTTACCACCAGCAAAAATTACACTTTAAAACAAAAAATATGGGGCAATTTTGAGGGTACAGTTGAGTAAAAAAGCTTTGACGTAGCTACATCCCTGTTATCTGAATATCAGCCTAACCCCAGGAAGAAAACTGAAGGGGAAAACAACACTACTTCCAGTCTCTGCTTGATTTTACTGCACACTTGGGTCTGGTGTAAAAGTACAAGTTTTTTCGTAAAGAGCATTGATAATCAAACACACACTTATTACCACTTGACTGTACAGGTACATGTATTCTACAGGATAAGAAAAAAAAATTAGAAACATAAATTTATACAGGTAATTGAACTAACCAGGAATATTCTGTCCTTTGACTGAAATGAGTAAAACAAGTTGACAATATATGGACTTTTTGAGATTGCTAAAGCATCCCTTTCAGCTACAACTGAAAAAAAAAACGTAGGAAATAACATTCAGTTATAACATGCATGCCTGAATGAATGTTTTGCATGTCGAGTGTGTTGTCTTAATACTAATAGATGAGGGTTAGTGGTGCTGTATTCTCTTTTAGTCTTACTGTGTTCGATACTTTTTGATGTGAAAATACAGGTAAACGTGAAGTAAGGACAGGATCCTAATTCTCATATATAGTTATTTACCATAGTATTGGAAACAACATACTTTTCTCTACAATGAGAAACAACGCAATAATTGATTAGCATGCCAGTATTGAGGGGGAAATCTTAAATAGAAGCACAATTATGAATACTCACTCATACTGTAGTTACATTACAACCCTGACACCCTTGATTAGCGCAGTGCTCACAGATACTCTGAGTATCTGCAAATGTACTAAGAGTGTTTGGAATTGAATTTAAGCACTTTTACTCTGCACCCACCCCTCTGCCAAACAAGGAAATAAGGAAACTGTTGAAGTGCAATGTGCTACAATGTACATCATGGGGTGTGTAATTCTTATAAAGTAAGTAAGTAAGTATGTAAGACCACTGTCTAATAGTAAGACATCACCAACCACCCTGCAATGTTTGAAACCATTCAAAGCATAATTCTCAATTTTTTTTTACAATATTACAAATTACATTGCAATAACATATCAACATTCACACGAAGAGAGTCACTTTACATTGTACTGTTCACAACCAGTAAGCACATTATTCTGTCAGAGGGCATGTATGTAACTAAATGAAATTTGGGGAAAGTTAATATTGAGACAAATTTGCTGGCCAGCAGGGAATTTTGTCTGAGAATAACAGGGACATTAATTTGAAATAGGTTCTCTGTTGACGTAACCTGCCATTACATTCACAACTATATTACATGTTGCTTTAGTTTTCAAATGCTCCTGGGAGGATTGCATATTCCCAAATGAATAGCATTTGAAAACATGACTTATGCATAAAATTTGGGGGGAGTTGGGGGCAGACAAAGTGCATTATGGGAGATTAAAAAAAGAGTCAATTTACAGTTAAGAATTCAATTTAAAAAAAAAAAAGAAAAAGAAATAGACATACAAACCTTGTTCAATCATGTTTTTGTTGACAACATCAGTCTTCTTCACAACTTTTATGGCATAAAATTGTTTATCTTTATCTCTCCTATGAGCAAGGAAAACCTGTCTAATAGATGTTTGAAATAAAGAGAAATGAGATACATGTATTAAAATACATTGCAAACTTCTTAAATAATATTAATTTAACATTTGGAGGTACAGAAGCCTATAACTAGGAGTGGTTGCTACTTCCTTTTGAAATATTTTTTGGCTCCAGCAATATCACAGGCATTCCGATACGTGGTGAAAAATATTGGAAATTATGCATAACTATTAAGAGGTCACATTTTATAATTGTAAATTACATTGTATGCAATTTTCCAGGAAAAAATTTTGTATAGAAGGATAAGCACACGCACATTATCATTCACAAGCATGTGAGAAACTTTTAAGGTTCTGCATGATGTTTCCAAATAAAGGTAGCCTTAAATTAGCAATTCAGTGTAAGTTATTTTGGCAACATTGATTGCTTCTTGTTAAACCAATTATTTTTTTATCATATGATTTCTAATTATTATGGATTATCAATCAGATGCAATAAAGCAACTTACCCAAATGCACCTCTACTAATTGGCTTGATGATATCGAAATCATGTATACCAGTTGGCTATAAAGCAGAAAATTATATATTCCATTAGTAAGGACAAAAACAATACTTATTATTATTCATTCAAAATATTTTACCAATTCTGATTGGCTAAAAGCACACATTTAATTCACCATAACCAGTTACTGATGACCACAAATTTGGAAGATTTTGTGTTTAACGAGGAAATGACGTCAAAACCACACACCATCCTTAACCGAGAAGACCTGGGGACGAGGTTGAGTTGTTTTGGTTGTGAACTTGAAAAATGGCAGACATTTCACTCCTTTTAAGAGTAAGAACTAGGCGAAATAATAGCTAAAAACATGGCAAGAACAGCAAGAAGACAACTTGACGGGCGACATATGCTATTCGGAGAATATTTGCGGAGCTGGACAAACCTAAATGTGCACTATCAAAGATTAACTTAACATCGATGGATCGATGGAGGTAAGCATGTTTTAGCCATGTTTTTAAACTAGGAAATATTTTGAATGAATAATAAAACAATTATTGCATTCGGCTTTCATATCATATGAAGAATTATGGAGATCTAGGAGGGTGTTATCCGCCTCGGCCGATAACACCCTCCTTGATCTCCATAATTATTTAAACTAGGAAATATTTTGAATGAATAATAAAACAATTATTGCATTCGGCTTTCATATCATATGAAGAATTATGGAGATCTAGGAGGGTGTTATCTGCCTCGGCCGATAACACCCTCCTTGATCTCCATAATTCTTCATAAGATACTCAGCCTCATCATTACCGGTAATTGTTAATTATTATTGTAGGTAGGATTACTGGTTATTAGGATTTTAGGTATTATCTATCCTAGGGCTTTTTTGTACATGTAACCTTTCCAGTTGCAATAATAATGTTATTACAGCTATAGTTTTGTAGCGGGCCAAAAACTATAAATTTACATGAATGTTATCATCATGTTTATTACATATGTAAGCTTAAATTATTTGGGGGATTATTAAATTTTTATTAATCTTCGTCATATGAGTATGACTGATCTCTGAGTCCATTAAACTAAGATGTTTTCCAATAAAATTATATATCATTCTGCCCTCAAATACGGAAGCTGTCGATAGATAAAGCCATGGATCATATTTGTTCATTCGCAATCGGCAGTAAATTACTTGGCAACCCGATTCTCATATCAACACAGCCGGACCTGAGTCGGACTGTGACCGTTGCTTCATCTATAAGTTAATTATATATTCTACCATGTTAAAACTAATTTTAATCGTTTAGTTCGATTCAATTCAAAGGAAATTAACGTCACCGTGTCTGTAAATGAATAAAGTAGTTATGGCTGTCTTTGAAAGATGATCCTAGGTTGAGGAAAGGACATCTCGTGCAGTTAGTAGATTGAAAATATCATCCAAAGTAGACCAACCTTTAGCGTGTGGCGATTCTTCTTGCTTTCTGAAGAGGGCTCACACATCTTAAAAACAATCTGTACTTAACAAAGTAGTATTCGAAGAAATTTATCTTTGTAAGCCAACTCTCTAGACAAACAGCGAAAGTGGAAAATAAGCTAAAGATCGAATCAGTGATCAAACATCCGCCATGTTTAAATTTCTGCGCGGAAAGTGTAATCGTTCCCAGTCCCCAATAGGCTATATTTGCAAGTTCTTCTGGGAAGTTTATGAGCATAAACCACAGGTACCCCAAGTTTACAAGAGAACCAGCTGAACCTCAGCGTGGGTGGATTGTCAAAAATGACAATAAAAAAGGCAGTAAAAATACCTCAAAACTTCTTACCTTGTGATCTCCTAGTTTTTTCTTAGTACTGATTCAAAAGGTCTAGTTAGCACCAACAATATAGATAGTCACATAAACAACACAACTTTCTTTACATAAACGTAATTTACCAGACATGTTTCGACGGTACATCCGTCATCTTCAGTGTTACATATTGTGAAATCGCCGTTGATTTTTAATCGAGCGCGATGTTAAAAAGTTCGTTACATTGGGTTAACAATACTGCGTTTTTAAATGTTAAATTAGTGACGTTAAGGGACTTACAGGGTGAGAGTCAGGTTTTACAGTTTCACCTGCTGGTTGACGTCGGGCTTCTCCCTATTTTTAATGAATATGGATCCCTTACTTAGTTAGTCCAGGATCTCAGAGAAATCCGTTGCGCAGGATGTTCGACAAGACTCTAAACTCTACAGATGTCTAAAACATTCGAAGACATTGTGTGACTCCAACGAGTCTCCTGGGGTGTTTTCCTGAGAACTATAGCACTCGTAAAATCTACAGCTACATCTCCAGGAACCGAATGGCTTATTTTTTAATTTGTATGTAACGCGAGTGGTCATATTTAGTATACGTAGCTGCGCCACGATTCCTGCCTTTTCAAACTTTGCTGAGTGAACTTAGTTTGTTTGTTGTGGTTCTTGCCAGTGTCGAGCATTCAACTCACATCTCAGATCTCGCCATCAGTCTGGTCCCGGTAGGTTCAAACGTTGAATATAATAGAGCTCTCCAGCGTATAAATCACTGTCCAGCAGTTGAGTATTAGGGAATACAATTGCGTAAAAAAATTCAGCTACTAATCATCAACCCAAGGAATGCAGACGCAGTAACTGACGACGAAGATACAATCTTAGACGGAGAACCTATTAGTAGAATGGAGAGAATCAAGCTTTTGGGAGTTCAAATGGACAATAATTTGAATTTACTAGTCACATAATATATAGATTTAGCCAGGGCCAAAAGTGAAGCTCTGGTTAATAATACTTTAGAACGAAAAAAAACATAAATCGTGTATTGCTAAACGGGAACGGCAATGAAAATGGCATCAAGATCAATAGATCTAATTAGCAAAAGAAAAAAAAGAAGAAAAATTTGCCCGTGCAGGACACTTTCTCAACACGCCTTTTTTGTCTTTCTTCGCTGTTGTTTTGCACGACTACAATGCCGTTTTGTACGACTAAAACGTCAAACTTTTTAGTTACACATTATTTTTATGGAGGAATTGTCATATGTACTTACCAAAGATTTTGTTTCCTGTGTTCATTTTCGCTTTTATTCTTTCACTGCCGCTTACTTTCACCTAGCCGCTAGCATTTCTCATGTTCTCACCACCGTTATGAAATTTTCATGTTTTTCTTCACACGAAAAAAGTTCGTTTTCCTAGCTCTTTCTCTGTTATCCACGTGAGTATAAACATCAAAAATAACGTCGAAAAAGACACGATTTTGTTGTTTTTTTTCTTTTCTTCCGTTGCATTTGGGTTGTCATACCTGTTGATAGAGATATTTTATATTGGTGTGCCTGTGGTGCGGACGGACGGTCGGTCAGTCGGTCGGGCGATGTACGTTCACGTAATTACCAAATTTTCTAGGATGGGTAGATTTACTCAGTTATGGGGCTCCGCGCGCGCTTGGAGCTCCGCTATTAACTTTGGTCATCAATTTTACCCCACCTAACAAACTGTGACTTAGTTTAGCACTTTTCAAAATCATCAGATCGAAGAAAGGTCTAGCGGATACAAGAGAGAACACTAAGAGCAGTATACAAAAAAGCTCAGCGTATAACCAAAAACCGGCTAGATTGGACCCGGCTACCAACACCATACAATAGGCGTTTACAGGACGTAGCCTTGGTGATGTATGGCATGGTCTCTCACTTATTTACATCACTAAATTATTCCACTGAAGAACACGCCGAGTATTACTTGAACAACGATTTCGAACTACCAAATTCGAACCTGTTCGATATGGTGGACACTCTATAAAATACTTGGGTTCTCTCATTTGATCCAAGCTACCCAGAAAACTAAGTACTATCGAAAGTCTTAATTCATTTAGAAGAAATATTAGGAAATTCAACATATTCGGACTCGTGAACTGATACGTACGTATCCCCGGCTTAGTCACAGACAACCCGACTACATAAAAGAATTGTGTATGCAATAGGTTTTAATTATTTTCTTGTTTTAGGAAGATATAAAGAATTTATATAGTCTTTATTTATTTTTTTTATTAGGGGTACTGATTACTAATTACTGATTACTAATGTATCCAGTCAATGGGTCCCCTCCCCCCACCCCCCCATGAGCTAGCTGTAAGGCTAAATACATTGACACGTAAATAAAGTTTTTATTATATTTCATTTCATTTCCCTCCCCCGTATCTTCCACCGACTTTGATTCAATGCCTTATTCACCTTTAATCAATGTTTGATTTTATTTCTCACGAAATTTGTTTGCTCTCCGTTATCAGTAGTTTGAGTTTATGTCAACACTGCAAGGGGCTCCTATAAGGTGATATAAACTCTCGACGCAATAATAATAGCGCAAATACCGTTTACTACATGAAAAATATGGTTTACGGTGCAGATAGACAAAAGGCAAGAAATTTCCAGACCCAGTCTCCGACCCCATGTATCTTAACTGCAAGTATCTCTGAACGGTTCGAACATTCGCAGAAAATATTGAATTGACAAGAAATATATTGGCATCATTGCTCCTTTGATGCTGCATCGATTTCCTTGAGTAATTGTAGGATTGCTGACAATGAATTTTCTACTGCCGCTGTTGTAGAAGTAATAGGCTCAGATGTAGGTAGGCGCGCAACACCTCCACCCAAAATTACTTTGCCACCGTCAACAGTAACCTCACCAGACCCGCTAAACTCTTCACTTCCACTTCCTTCAGATGAGGACCTTTCATCAGCGCCTTCCTCGTTATCTCCGCTTCCACCACCACTACCACTTTGACTGCCAACCCCGCTTTCGTTAACATTTCCACTTCCCTCTCCACTACTCAAACCGCTTCCGCTCCCAGTCCCACTTCCGCTTTCGTTAACATTTCCACTTCCTTCTCCACTACTCAAACCGCTTCCGCTCCCAGTCCCACTTTCGCTTTCGTTAACATTTCCGCTTCCTTCTCCACTACTCAAACCGCTTCCGCTCCCAGTCCCACTTTCGCTTTCGTTAACATTTCCACTTCCTTCTCCACTACTCAAACCGCTTCCGCTCCCAGTGTCCCTTCCGCTTTCATTGATATTTCCACTTCCTTCTCCACTACTTAAACCGCTTCCACTGCCAGCCCCACTTTCGCTTTCATTGCCATTTCCACCGCCTATTCCATCTCCACTTTGATCTCCGCTGCCGCTTTCAATTCCATTTCCGATAGACACACTTGAGTTGCTTTCAAGGTCGTTCTTCACCTTAACGGGAGATTGCGATTTCGTTTCCAGTGTTATTTCAAAATAGTGGTTTGAGTAGACTGGTCGCCCTACCGGCAGCGCTTCTGTAAGAAAAGGAATACAATGTAAGAGAAAAGAGATCAGATCAACTAAACCTTTTCTTCTGGCAAATCTGGCGTTTCGTATAGTATGCGTTTTTTGTCCTGTTTTTCATAAATAGCATCATAGATTGGTTTCTAGCCGTTCTTGTGAGTATTCTTATACAGGGCAATCAATATAATTAAATTGGTGAAACTACAAATTCTTTTCTAGTGAATAAGGTTTTAGCTTGAGAAAACGGCTGACGTTTGGCGACGCTACCGCTGGTTTCCCCGCCAAATGACGTCTGAGAAACGAGCCCAGGAATTCCATACTGATGACGCGTCACTACCAAGATCTGGGCAGTGCTTCTGATTGGTCGTTCCGCGTGGGAAATTTGATTCAACCAATCAGAAGCACTACCCAGATCTGGGTAGTGACGCGTCCTCAGTACGGAATTTCTGTGGTCGTTTCTCATACGTCATTTGGCGGGGAAACCGAGTGGTAGCTCGCCAAATATCGGCTGTTTTCTCAGGCTGACAAGACGTTTTACATACGTTTGACTGAGGTTGTCTCAGAAACGATAAGAATAGAGTCAATAGAGCAGTCTATCGGATTGTCATGCGAATGAACAAATAGAACGAAGCGAAGCCGAGGGGAAACTGGGGCCTTTTGTTCTCTCAGTCCCGCCGAGCCTCGCTGAACCTCGACTCAACTGCGTAAAAAGGGACACTATCCATCGCTAGATCAGAAACAGAGGTGAGTTTTTTGCTTTCGCTAACCTTAATTGTCGTCACTGAATCCATCTTAGATGACCGTAGGGCCTCATAGTTTATCACGTTTCTTAAAGAGTATGTGAATTTATTATCACAGCTTGAGTCATTATCTTAATAAGCGCATATTCAATAGATCGCCTGCTTCAATTCGGGAAGGAACCGCGTTATCTCCGTAGTAAAGAAATTTCTCGACTTTAAATTATATATGTAATCACCTTCGTCCAATATTCCTAACCAGGAGATTCTCTCTCCACACACATACTGCTATTTTTCAAAGTCGTAGACACGAGCTGAGTGAAAGACCACTTTGATAAATTGTTGATCAGTGATCAACAATGTGTCAGTTATCAAGTGTTGATCAGATTATCAGTTTTGAAGTTTTATTGAAAGTAGACCCAGGACAATTTCTGAGTGCCCCTGAATCAGCATAT